GATGATGGCAAAAATGAATGAGAATAAAGTTGTGTGTGACAAATATATTTCTAGTGTTGTCTGCATTTCGTAAATTATTAATCTGAAAGATTCTCCTACTGTATCGGGAACTAATGAAGAGAGGTAATGAGGAGAAAGATTATTGAACATTTTATAAAGAGAATTGTTTGTTGTTTGTAGCGTCTTACTTTAAGGGGTTGTATGCAAGTATCTTCATAAAGATTAGAGATAGAAACTGTTTTTTTTTACCTTTTTATTTTGCACTTCAAGTTTTTATTTTTTCAATTCAAATTTATTTTTGTTTAGTTTGTTGTCCCAAAAAACATCGGGATTCCCGAAGGGGCCAATAAAAAAGATATATAGTTATAATGACTTTCGATCAAAAATGAATTCAAAGATTCATTATAAAATCTTTGCCCGGGTTTTTTGGGAATATTTTTTATGTGGAAACCAAAATTTCCCTCATTAGAAAATTTTTCCCAAGATGTTGGTGAGGTATTCATTTTTTTGCCATTGACATTTTACTTCAAAAATTTAATTTTTGCCTTTGGGTTTTTCCCGAATTCAAACCTTTTTGTCCTTTGGCTTAACCTCAAATTTAAACCCTTTTTTTTTTATATTTTTACCTCAAATTCAACTTTTTTTAAGAACAAATACTGGAAAATTTAAATCAACCATTTTGCCATTCAATTAAACCTTTTTTTACAATTAACATACACTGCAAATTTAACCTTTTTATACATTGAGCATACACTGCAAATTGAACATTTTTACCATTTAGCATAATGGTACTGCAAAATCAATCATTTTGGCATTTGGCATAAAACGAAAATATAAATTTCAAAACATTTTGTCATGCTCATTATGTCATTTAGCATGATACTGGAAAAGAAACAAGAATAACTTATGTAATCCTCAGATACAATCATATTATGTATGTTTCAATTGATATAATACTGATCATAAGATGGGAATATTAGCAACTAAGTAAAATTTATCGCATGTAACTAATATAGAAAGCTATTTCATATTTGTTAAGTACGAAATCAGGTACATAATAATCGAATAAAAACTCATCAAAACATCCGATTTTGGAAAAGAAAGAACAATCAGAAGATAAGGTGTATATCTACAAAGATACAATTTTTGGTATTCATCAAAGAGTTGATAGCATTTATCAAAATCATTAGAAAACTTGATGTTAAACAGAAAACTTAAGGTATACTGATAAATCTGTCAAAGTGAAATAATGACTTCACCAATTCATCTTTAAAAATAAATGTAAGGTTACATGGAAAAAAATATTTGTTTAACGTTCAAAGGTAATGTTCTGTGTTGTAAAAGTATAAAAATTAGTTTAAAATTTTACAAATCTGAATTAAAGTAAAGTTCAAGTTATAAGACCAAACAAAATGGTGACCTTTATAGTAAAATGTTCTTTATAGTAGACAATTCTTCCGATATTTCATATTGACTTTGGATCCTTTAAATTACTGAATTTTACATGATTTTAACATTTCCAAAGTTATTCAATCTGCAGAAATTTATTGTAGGTCAATATTTTTTTACATATATAACTATCTATTTCACAAATTTATCATTCAAATTGAATGCTGGACACTGAACAACTAACAAATGCATTTGCTTTAATTTGTAAAAAAAAAACAACAACAACCAAACATTTTGTTTTATCCGATATTTTGAAAGCTAAAATTATTTTCACTAATGACATGTAAGATAAAATAGTTTCTGACATACAGTCTACGATGTTAAAGGAGATAGGTACAAAGTTTGACGTTCCCTGGCACGCTAACATACAACATCACCAGGTGGCGCTAGCACCGCAGAGGGAGCCACGTAGATAATTGCTCCTACTTATGTCAGGTCATTTAATTCTCATCAATATTAGAACTCTGTGTACATACAGTACACGTCATTTTACAAAGAAAAAAATACGTAGATAAAAAACATGAAATATGTCTGCCCATTATTATGTAACTGAACACTAATCTAATGAAATTTTGTGAGAGATAAAAAAGCATTTTAAGTGGTGTAAAGAGAACAGGTGTTAGAATACAAATGAACAGTAATACGGTGCACATCTTAAGTCCCGAAGGCCACAAACGCACACTTATTGTACACCGTATACTGTATCATCTACCATACTGCTATGTTGATAGTAAAAATCACTTAAAACATAACCATACTCAATAAATTAAAACAATAAAACAGAGTTATAGTTGTTGTATAAACAAATATCATTTTAAGAACTATTGAAATCACATGTCAGTAATTAGCTGAAGAAGAAGGTACATGTACAATTAAGCAAACTTGATCCTTCACTGCTCTGATCTGATAAAATAGTCATGGACATGTGATAAATGGTTCCAAAATCATTTTTGTTCTTTCATTTTAACCGAAAAATCCCTCCATTTTAAAAAAAAATTGTATTCTTAACGCAGTAAAAATATAGTAAAAAATACCACAAAATCAGTCATATAACATGAAACTATTTCTTGATTTATCAATTTTCTTTTACTTTTCTTGACATCTTAATACATTTTTCTCAGGGTTGAGTTTCATGAAATATTTTGGCTCATCTGATGGCATGCTTTAAACTAAAATGAAAACTTTAGTAGCACCCTCCCCCCCCCCCCCCCCCCCCCCCCAAAAAAAAACCTCCAAAAAAAAAATGTGTTTTTTGTTCGCACTGATATTCGCTTCACAATTACACTTTACAAGCCATGTTCTTTAACCTTATATTTTATTTTGAAAGTGTTTATTACATTATAATATTTGGGAAAAATCTTAAAAATATGATAAAAATAAAGAAGAAATTCTTCTGCTAACAAACTTATAGATGAAACATTAAAACTGAACAATCAATAAAACATTTTAAGGTAAAAAAAAGTACCATGTTTTCAATTTGTAACACAGTGCCCCCTTAAAAAAGCATTAACATACTTTTGGGGGCAATATGTCATTTGTTTTAAGATTTTATATTTCAACAACAATTCACCATGCAATAAGAAGAATTATTATCCTGTGGGCAATGGTATATCTGATGAGATCAGTAGTTTATCATATACATACATTTTAACTGATCTTTATACAGATAAACCTTCACCAGACATCAATGCTTTTTTTTTTACATCTTTCCTAGTTCGCCAGCAAACTATTTCATTCATGGTTTTATAACAAAACTGTTTATGCTAATGGAACAATTATTGTAAACTTTTAAATCAGTGATAAAATCCGTCTTCAGGGGAAATAATTTATTGCTGACAAAACGATCGCAAAATCGCATTAGTTTGTTTTTGAGTTTGATTTTTTTTCTTTATATTCATATAATGTATAAATATCCATTTCTATATAAATATATTGACAAAATAAACAGATACGTAAAATGTTTATGTTTAAAATGTAATAGTCACAAAAAAGTGATTTTATTATTTTGATATCTTAACTGTTTAAATGTAACATTTTCTTTTGACAAGGCAGATATTTATTTGAGATGAAAATCAGCAGGTTGTTGCACATAAATTTGTATGTGAAAATTTCACGTGAACATTTTAACATTTTACACAAAACTTGTGGTTAGCCATAAAATCATTTTATTTTATATTATCATACAATATGTATTATATTGTTCTTTACATTTATAAACAAGGTGTATAAGAAACTGCTACATGAAATTTCCATGAAATATGTAAAAAAAAATCTTATCAGTCCAAGACAAACAGGAATTGCCTTTTTCCTTCATACTGCTGTATATAAAAGAAATGTTATAAATCACCATTAATGAATCAACCTAATAAATTTTAATTTTCAGACAATATTTGAATTAGAAAAACATGATGTAAAAACATGATGAAAAAACATGATAAAATAACATGAACAATATGAGGAGGACCAGCATGATCTCAAACAATCCCATCATTTATTTCACTCTGTACAGTAATAAACAACAAGAACACTGTCTTCATTAAAGGAATTCTAATAAATAAGAATTAAAATCTTATTAACGTAACTCTGGACAGTGTATTCCCTCTAATGTAATGGAAAGATAAGCATGATTTTTTTTCCACAAGCATTATGGTTTTTGTTTTGGCTACCAGAATTACCAGAACTCTTTGTAACTCCCCAAAAACCAACCCTCCATACTGCATACTTAGTGTATTTAATCATGTATTTTTATGAAAAATAAATGATTCATTAGATTTAATGAAATGTACTGAAAAGAATGATAATCTGGTGGTTAGGCCTTCATAAGCTGTACTAGGGAACATTATCAGACTGATGGAATGCTAACTGACATTTGACCATGTAAATATTGGTACAAGATAAGTGGAAAGAAGTTGTAAACAATTATGAAAAAGTGGTATATAATTGGTATTGATATAAGATGTTGTTTGTGTAGTAACAGAAACCGTATGATGAGAGATCAGTGAATGGTTAATCACCTTTAAACAACTGCACAGGTAGCTAACTGTATATACTACCTGTATAATTGTGTAAGGTAAGCAACTCTGATATCACCACGTATCAGCAGTACAACATGGATTAACTGCTCTTACACAGTCTTTACGTATCTCATAATATTCTTCTTTTGAATTTGGCACTGTGAGGGATTTTTACAATAAAATGCTGGAAGTCAGCAGCCAATAGTAAAGAGGCTGGCCATACTGCATATTAACAAAGGCAAGTTATGTCTGAAACTAGAATACAAACGGTAAAACAATTTCTTTTATTCACAACAGTACAGCCAGCTTTTCACAAACTTGTATCTAAGGGCAACAACTCTTAAAACTCCTAAATTTGTGTCAGAATCAGAGTTTTGTGGCATTGCAGTTTCAAATTACAAGACTTTTCACTCTTTCAAGATGAATACACAGAATATTAGACACTAGAAATTTAGTTCCTAGAATCAAGGAATATTACACTATTTACAGTTGTCATAGTAACATGTAGATATGAATACACATTAAACAAGAACCTACCTATCTTTAGAAGCTGAGACAACATGAGTACCATCAAAAGCTATACTATTAACTGCCATTTTATGCCCTCTGATAACATTACAACATAGGTAAGATGTTCGTCTCCACACACGTACCGTACAATCTGCCGAACCAGATATTCTGAAAAAAATATACAATGTATCATAAGATTGCCTTAAATATTTAATACTTCCTATCAATAATTTCATACTATCAAAAGATTGGATACTATTAAGGCATTTTTTTTCTGTTGTATCTTATATTATTTGAAAAGCAGTCATGCAACTCCACTCTTAATATTTAACCCTTAAACCTGCGCATTTGTATGACAGACTGAGCTTGTTTTAAATTTGCTTCCCTCCATTATTGCATTTGGGTTCTTGACCAAACTGCATGAAACCATAGACTTGCCGGGCTCTGGTTGAATAAGCCTGTTTATTGTTAGCAGCAATAAACTAATTCTAAAAAGCTTAAAGGCCCATTATGCCCAAGAAATGCTCTCCAAAACTTTTTATTTTGGTGTACTTTTTATAATTTCCAAAACATTACTCAAAAGTCAATTACCCAGACATTCTTTTTCTTATGATGCTTTTTGGCAAAAAGAGCAGTTATGGTGAATGAGTATTTTGTATGGAAGTAAATACTACTTTGTTTACATTTTGTTACTGTAATAACAAATTATTTCTCATTAAGTGCTAATTTTTTCGCGTCAAAAGCGTCTACCATGCTCTTAAACCATTATATAAATGTTATAAAATTCATATTTGCCATTTCTAAAGAAGTAAAAATTTATTCAAAATGCCTTTAACAAAATCATGTCCACTCTTATTTCATCTTTATTCTTTAAGCTGCACAGGCAAGTTTAATAAATTCAGGAGGTTTAAAAAAGAAAATTATGGGTGCAGATTTTCGAATACTTACAGGAAGTCCTGGTTCATGGCCAGGCATGTAACACTATCAGAATGATCAGTTAGAATGTATCGTCTGCATAAATTACGTAAATCCCAAATCTGTAAACAGAAAGAGAATGATCAAAATTCTGACAATTCTTGCTGTTCTTCAATGGTCAAATTAAATATTTTTATAAAAACTCTATAAACGGCAAAATTATGTTCTATCTATTCTCTTATGCTCGATTGTTGAAAGAGTTGTAACAAAGAGTGTTTCTATTATTTAAGACATATGAATCTTGTACGTTAACAGAGTAAAATGTTGCAGAATATTTTGCTGCTGTTTTCAGAACTGTTTAAGCAGTTAAGCAAGGATTTCATGCATGCACCATTTGATTTTTAAGCAAATATACATTTTGCTGTTATTTTCAGTTTTTCTTCAGCAGTTCAGCAATGATTTCATGCACCCAGCATTAGGAAAAAACAATCATATTACTGTCAGACAGTTATTTTAGAATTACTTGTTTTCAAAATTCAAACAATAATTTTATAAAGAAAAGGGCAGCAGATATATAGCTTTACACACTTAAATGTGAGAATATCTTGAATAAAGATCTTTAACATTAAGAAATGATAATAACATACCATCACTGTAGTATCCCAGGACCCTGTAGCTAGTTCATTACCAACAAAGTTTAAACATCGTATTCCTCCCTGAAATACAACAAAATCATGATTTGTCAGTTCATGTATCTTTTAATGCTTTGAAATTTTTTCTAATATCTTGCATGATAAGGCACCATGACATCTATATCAGACTGCCTTGTAAATTATAATATGGTCATGATCTTTAACCTAAATCATATAGAATGGATAAACACATAACCTTCATAGCAAAATCTATTTATACTTGTTGAACATAGATATTGAGCACGAATGCTCTTGTTTATAAAGTGTAGAATCAATACTAAGTTTTACCTTATGTCCAAAGAATTTGTGCAGACTGCGTCCACTTCTGATATCCCACATTCTGATGACTCTGTCCAGACCAGCAGAGATCAGTCTACGCTGGTCAAATTGTATACATGTTATACCACTCATGTGACCCTGCAATGTATAAAACATTTTTTTTCTTTGTTGTCTTTTTTTTGTAAGTTCTTATTTTCCTGTTTTAATTCAGCCCTTCATTCAATCCTATGGTTTTTACATATTGTTGGTTTTTATTATCAATGATTCCAGTGAGTGAAGTGTTGAGAATTGAATACTGTTTATTAGACTGGTGCCAGGGGCAAGGGGTATATGAGAGATAATCCATTTTCTATTATCTCTATTGATCAGAATCAATTAAACTGAGTATGCAATTTTCCCTTGTTTACTTTTGTAATATCGTTCTTAAAGGATCTTCCCTTTTCTAAAATATTGATTATTAAATTCAATTGATTTACTGATTTTTGTCTTTGCTTTGTTCAGTTTTAAGTCACACCAACACTGTAAAGGTAATTAAACAACTTAACAGCTTTATTTAGTGGAGGGAAACCATAAGTGCCCTCTGTGCATTATTTCAGGCACAAAGAGTCACTCAAGTAAAACCATAAACTTTCCATAAGCCCACTAGATTGCTTCCTAGCTTGAAAGATTTCAAAGTGTCTGGTGGGATTTCAAACCCAGAGCAATGACAAGCAAGTGAATGACCTTTTATTGTTCAACAGCAGTGGCCCAGATTTTTTGAGGGAAACATTATTTTATCTCCATATTAACAATATCTAAATATGAAGATAATCTTTACATCATCAGCATAGATTGATGTTTATTTGTTCCTAAAGTACAACTACTTGAAAGACACTATGTTTATTCAAATATATTTTGTATAGTTATTACCTGTAGTTTTCTAGCCCTGAGAACACTTCTTACTTCTCCAACAAAAACTGCTTGTTTCCTTCTTCTAGATCTAGCTTCTTCTTCTTCATCCTCATCATCTCTTGGTGTTTGATCCATTTGCCATTCTAGACTCATATGTGGCTTTGCTTTACCCTGAAATATCAAAATAATTATACAGTGTAATTACAATTTCACACAACTAAGATGCCAACATAAAAAAGTTATATCACTTCTGATGATTCATTCATCAGAGAATCTTTGGGATCTTCACAAAAGCAAATTAAAGGTACCAAATTACTAAGATCAGCTAATAAAATTGGCAAATGCATATGTTGGCAATAAGCTATGTTAAAATGCTAAAACAAGATAACATCACAGTCACCAAGACTGCAAATATAACATGAGAATTAAGGTACTGTTGAAGACATTGCTTCTGTGAAATCTAGATAGAAGCTGTGGAGATTTTGTCTTATGTCTTATAAACAATTTATAGTTTGTAACAGAAAGATACAAATGCATCAAACAATTCTGCGGTGGCTGGGATTCAAACTCACAACCTCCTGCTAACACCACTGAACCAGAGAATGGATTCTGTGATGCAATTATAATTCCAAAAGTAGTTTGCTATCAATTGTAACACACCCATTCTTCAGAAAGTCAACATTTATGATGAAGGAATGAGTTATTTCCAAGCCAGCAACCATTTTGGTAATGAATCAGAAACCATTTCAATTTTAAAATCAGAAACCATTTCATTGTTTAAACAAATTTCAGGAGCCAGACTTTCCAGACAAGCCTTCATCTAATGGACATTTTTAGGTTTGTGATAGATAGATGCAAATGCATCAGAAAAGAACCTGCCATGGCTGGGATTTGAACTCGAGATCCCCTGCTCACAAGCTAAGGTGACAACACTTTAGACCGCTAAGCTAAAGAATCAATTCCCTGACACAATTGTTAGCGGTTGTACTGATAGTTATGAAGGTAGTGTGCACTCAACTGTGTGTGTGTCAAAATCATCAACATACCAGTACACATTTAGCTTTTCATGAACCTTGGATTGTTTGTCAGCCATTTTTTTAATGTTAATGAACTTTCAGTCTGAAAGAAAGTTTTTGAAATAGTTGACTGAATTTTATCCCCATATGTAGTCATTAATAGTACCTAAATTATACCTTAATGGTCGGTACAAGTTGTACCTTTGACTGTACAAAGTATGATATGAGCCGCGTCACGACAAAACCAACATAGTGCGTTTGCGACCAGCATGGATCCAGACCAGCCTGCGCATCCGCGCAGTCTGATCAGGATCCATGCTGTTCGCTATCAGTTTCTCTACTTGTGATAGGGTTTGTAAGCGGACAGCATGCATCCGGATCAGACTACGCTGATGCGCAGGCTGGTCTGGATTCATGCTGGTCACAAACGCATTATGTTGGTTTTGTCGTGATGCGGCTCATATAATGATAATTTACCATGATATCTTCAGCAGGAAAGAGATCAGGTCTTATATCATAGGCAGCATCGTCCATACCAGCATCATCTACCATCTCTTTTCTTCTTCTTAATATTGATGGACCTGCTCTAGGACTGTCAACATAATAAATGTAACTTTATTGCACTTTTTCTCTCTGTTTTATGTTGTACAGTCATACTTTGATTATTGCTTGATTATATAATTATTCATTACATGTATTTCAATTTAACTTATTTATTTCAGTTTGTGTATTTATGTTGTGTATATGTTAACTGTGTTAACTGTTTATATATTGTAATTTTATTGTGTGCATCAGCTGAGGCCCACATGGAAGATCAGGAAACCGAATGTGTAAGCCTTATTAAATTCAGGTGTTATTTACGAACTTACTTACTTACATTATATGACAACTTGAAACAATTTCAATACAAACAGTTTTACCCCAGACAATTAATTTTTAGTAAACAACACATGACAATAAAGGCCAAGCGTTAATTCTTTCTTTAATCAGCTCATTAACTTACAACAGAAATATTCAAATCATCATTCTGATTTAAGTTTGTTCCAGATTTTAGTGGTCATTAAAAAAAATAGTAACAATTTTTAAGTTAAAAACAATGGACAATTACCTTATTCAAAACATGTTCATATATTTGTTTTAGACTTTATTAGTCTCTAACAATAAAGGAACTATTTTCTTGTTAAAAAAGTAGCTTTTACACTTGTATATTATTTGTTTTATATATATAAGTGAACTTACGTCATGCCTGCCTGCATTCTCTTAATTCTATCAAATCTGTCCTCAGACTTAGATAAAATCTCAACCCCTCCCTCTGTAGATACAGCACGTATAGGTTCCTGACTGAAATATCCTGGTCTTTTCTCTGGAAACAATAAATAAAATGCTTGATTTAAAGGCAAAATATTTAACAATCAATCCTAAAAAGCTTGATAAAAAGTGCAAAACAATTCAACAATTCATCCAGGTAAAGTGGTCGCCTTGTGATAAAAGTGCCTCTTAACCCAGGAAACTTAGGGTCAACCCTCAAGGGGTCACAAACACATTTCAAAATATGAAACCAGTACTGGTTTAGTTCCTGAGAGTTGTTCAAGTAAGAAAATTATAAGCTTTTTTCACAATCAGGCCCAAATACATAATCATTATAATGTTTAATTCAACAATTTCTAAAATATAAATGTTAAAAGTGTGTTTCTGGATTCACATTTACCAACTGTAAAACACATTTACCTCTGGGTGTTGGTTCTGTTTCGTCACAAACATTGATAGATGAAAGAAGTTAAATAAGTAAATACATGTATAATTCAAAATGAAAATGTAATAAGTAACAAGAGGGCCATGATGGCCCTGAAGTCGCTCACCTGTACATAGGCCCCCGGAGCAGGGCCAGTTTAAAGCCCGGGGCTTTTATTTGAACAAACTTTGTAGACAACCATTAGAAGATGTTTCATGCTAAACATCTAAGGTCTTGCTCGTTGGGATTTTTAAAAGAAGATTTTTTTAAGTTTTTTCTTTACACATATAGTTAAAAACAATGACACACCTGGGGCAGGGCCAGTTTTGACCCCAGGGCTTTTATTTGAACAATCTTTGTAGACACTTACTAGAAAATGTTTCATGCTTAATATCTAAACTCTAGCTATTCGGGTTTTTTAAAAGAGATTTTTAAGTTTTGCTATACTCATATAACGAAAATCAATGTCCCCCGCAGCGGGGCCAATTTTGACTCCAGGGCTTTTATTTGAACAAAATTTGAAGACACTCACTAGAAGATGCTTCGTGCTTAATATCTAAACTCTTGCTATTTGAGTATTTTCAAAGAAGATTTTTCAATTTTTGCTATAGTTTTACACATATAGGGAAAATGAATGACCTCCGGGGTGGGGCCAATTTTGACCCCAGGGCTTTTATTTGAACAAACTTTGTAGACAATCACTAGAAGATGTTTCATGCTTAATATCTAAACTCTAGCTATTTGGTTTTTTCCAAAGAAGATTTTTTAAGTTTTTCCTATACACATATAAGAAAATTTGGAAAATCAATGACCCCCAGGGCCGGGCAAATTTTGACCCCAGGGCTTTTATTTGAACAAACTTGGTAGACACCCATTAGAAGATGTTTCATGCTAAATATCTTAGCTCTAGCTCTTTGGGTTCTTTAAAAGAAGATTTTTTAAGTTTTTACTATATGTATAAATGGAAAATCAATGAACCCCTGGGGTGGGGTCAACTTTGACCCCAGGGCTTTTATTTGAACAAACTTTGAAGACACTCACTAGAAGATGCTTCGTGCTTAATATCTAAACTCATGCTATTTGAGTTTTTTCAAAGAAGATTTTTCAATTTTTGTTAAAGTTTTACACATAAAGGGAAAATGAATGACCTCCGGGGCCAATTTTGACCCCAGGGCTTTTATTTGAACAAACTTTGTAGACAATCACTAGAAGATGTTTCATGCTTAATATCTAAACTCTAGCTATTTGGTTTTTTCCAAAGAAGATTTTTTAAGTTTTTCCTATACACATATAAGGAAATTTGGAAAATCAATGACCCCCAGGGCCGGGCAAATTTTGACCCCAGGGCTTTTATTTGAACAAACTTGGTAGACACCCATTAGAAGATGTTTCATGCTAAATATCTTAGCTCTAGCTCTTTGGGTTCTTTAAAAGAAGATTTTTTAAGTTTTTACTATATGTATAAATGGAAAATCAATGACCCCCTGGGGTGGGGTCAACTTTGACCCCAGGGCTTTTATTTGAACAATCATGGTAGACATCCATTTGAGATGTTTCATGCTAAATGTCTTAGCTCTAGCTCTTTTGGTACTTTAAAAGAAGATTTTTTAAAATTTTTACTATATGTATATAGGGAAAATCAATGACCCCCTGGGGCAGGGCCAATTTTGACCCCAGGCTTTTATTTGAACGAACTTGGTAGACACCCATTAGAAGATGTTTCATGCTAAATATCTTAGCTCTAGCTCTATGGGTTCTTTAAAAGAAGGTTTTTTAAGTTTTTACTATATGCATATAGGGAAAATCAATGACCCCCTGGGGCGGGGCCAATTTTGACCCAAGGGCTTTTATTTGATCAAACTTGGTAGACACTCACCAGAAGATGTTTCATGCCAAAAAATCTAAGCTCTAGCTCTTTGGGTTTTTTAGAAGAAGATATTTTAAGTTTTTTCTTTTGGTTGCCATGGCAACCAGAGTTCTGCATGGAATTAAATTCTTTGAACAATTTTCAAAGGTGACCACCAAAGGAACATTCCTGTGAAGTTTGGATGAAATTGGCTTAGTGGTTTATGAGGAGATGTCATTTAAAGTAAAAGTTTACGGACAACGGACGAAAAGCGATCACAAAAGCTCACCCTGTCACTTTGTGACAGGTGAGCTAAAAACATGCATAATTCAAAATGAAAATGTATTCTATGCCCTTGTAAATATTCTACTGAGATATTCTATATTTCATACAGATTCACATTATGACATACCTGGCTTTTTCTCCCATTTAAGTTTATATTCATCATCAAACTCACGGAGGTCCTCGGACAACACGCTGTGAGCATCATCATCCTCCCCTCTCTCTTGACGTCGTATTGCCGAGATAGTGCCTCGATGTACCTCTAACTCAACTGTAATATACAATACGTTATGTCATACTGATCCTTAATGAAACTCTTATGATTTGCTACTTTTTATCATGTCCATGCAAATCTCATGTCATCACACAAAATTAGTCAAAAAGATAAGTTAGTTCATTATAATTACAAAATGTCTAAAACTGATTACAGACAAGATTAAAAACTCACTGCATAATAAACAATAGTAAAGAAACAGAAGAGCTAAATAATAATACAGAATTGGAAAGTTTAAAAAAATATACAATATAATAAGTAGAAGAGAAAAAGAGCATAATAAATATAGTTCACAAATGTAATTTATTAAATATCAAAAACCTGAAAGTTAAAACTTACATTTCTGGTTTCTCAAATTCCTCATGCACATTTTTGAAAAACATGTGTACACAGTCATATCATATTTCACTCATTTGTCATTACTTTAAAAGATTCTTTCCAACAAATAATTTATACCTCTTATCACTAAGTTTAGTTTACAGAAAAAGATCAAAAATCAACAAAAAAAAGTCTGAATTAGTTGTTAAGTATGGTTATCAATGGATGCTTTTTTCCCCTTTCAAATTAATCATCAAACATCAAAGAACAGCAAAAAAACTTGGCTCTTCCTGAAATCTATATTAGAGCTAATAAAAATCTCAGCAGAAATTATAATGACTTTACCACACTTTAAAAGCTTAAATTTATTGTCAACTCACAAAAAAAACAACAACAAAAATACGTCTTTGACCTAAGATTTTCTGAACATAAATTTTATTGAAATGTTTAGAAATCAGATGATATATCGTGACAAGAGTAAATCCCTTCAAATCGTAAACTTCTGACGTAGAACGAGTCAAGTGCTTAGACATGGATTTCGGTGATAATAAAGCGCTTTAGTGACGAAGATAACATAAGGTGCATTGGTATTATATCTAAACTATGGCATAATTGTAAAGTAATCATTAAGATAGTGTCTATGAACATGGGTAGTTAGGATATTTACCAACATTGACACGGGGAATTATCACGGGAATTATCACATACATGTTGTATTTGATAAAGGCTCGGAGCCCTAATCTTTAAAACATTGACAATATATCTAGTCTGACTGATCTTTTACACTGAAAACAGTGAATTTATTGTTAGAAAATGAGAATTGGGGGAACATTTATCATTGTGACTCATAGTTCATCTATTTTAAATATTACGTATATAAAATTGTTAAAAGGTCTCTTGCTTAGTTGATTTTTAAAATGGGGAGGTTCAATTAAGAGGCACTGAAGTCTTCTTAAGAGTCCTTAACATAATGTATGAAACAAGATTCTTTCTTTCTACCATTAAATAAAGTAATAGAATATAAGAAGGAAGATAAATTTCATGAAAGTAATGAGTAAAGATTTTTCCATGCTGGTCTGTCATGCATTGTCTAGAATGGTGCAATATTATTTGTGAGAGAGACATCAGTTCAATTGAGCAAGAAAACAAAATATTTAAAAAAGTAACGGAATTAAAATTTAAAAAAAGAAGCTTTTTTATGTGAGAAGCTGAAAAATAAAACAACAGATAATTTTAGAAAATACAAGTTAGGCAAGTGTCATACATAAAGCTGTCACTTGTTTACATTGTGACGAAGCATAAAAAAGCTCTACTAGATATACTAAAGCAGCGAAACATCACTCTGGTTACCATGGCAACATTACCTATGACAGGTGTCCCCCTAGCAGCTTCTCGCTGTTTCTCTTTCTCTGCGTTAATAAACATTCAGTAAACAGACCATGCATTCTAGCAATTAATTCTACTAAAAATAATTCAGCAAATTCTACAACAAACTTTGAAAAGCAAACTTATCAAAAACTTTAAAAATAAGGTATTTTTTTGCATTTTTATTGGAAAAAAAATGAGCCGTGTCACGACAAAACCAACATAGTGCATTTGCGACCAGCATAGATCCAGACCAGCCTGCGCTTCTGCGCAGTCTGATCAAGATTCATGCTGTTCGCTTACCAACTCTATAACAAGTAGAGAAACTGATAGCGAACAGCATGGATCCTGATCAGACTGCTTGGATGCGCAGGCTGGTCTGGATCCATGCTGGTCGCAAACCAATTATGTTGGTTTTGTTGTGAAGCGGCTCAAATAAGCATGCTATTAAATAAAAGTCAAAACTATGATAAGGTAATACAATTTATTCAATATCTATCATTATCAAAAGTAACAAGTATACAAATTCTATTAACTACACATTGTCTACATGTCATAATACAGTCTGTTTGTTATATATGTTAACAACAAATCAAGTTTATGTTATAATCAAATATACAACATCTATACCTCTAAAATTTAGTTTAACCTTTTCCTGCTAAATATCTGGTTATAAAAATTTAACGTTTTTCATGAAAATGTCAAAATATGAATAGTGACGAACAGTGCAGACGAAGATCATTTGGTACGGATGTATCGGCTGATCTTGACCTACACTGGTCACATGGGTGGAATCTGTTATCACCATCAGACTATGGGTTAATTACATAATTTGCTTATCTAACATACAAAAAAGGAATTTGATAGAATTACAAATGAGCCGTGTCACGACAAAGCCAACATAATGCGTTTGCGACCAGCATGGATCCAGACCAGCCTGCGCATCCAAGCAGTCTGATCAGGATCCATGCTGTTCGCTTACCAACCCTTTTAAAAGTAGAGAAACTGATAGCGAACAGCATGGATCCTGATCAGCGCACTGATACGCAGGCTGGTCTGGATCCATGCTGGTTGCAAATGCATTAGGTTTGTTTTGTCGTGACGCGGCTCAAATTGTTTTAGCTATGAACCTCATTGGTATTTTTCATATTGAAGTGATTATTTAGTTATAAGTCATTAAAATGGAATCTATTTGTGTTCTTGCATTGAACTCTAAGAAAGTGTCTAGCAAATCAAATTTTGTAACTTGATAAATAAAATATTTCAAACATAAATACATATATCATGATTGAAGATTAGAAATCTGAACAAATATATCAGGAGATCTTTTTGTATTGAGATATTTGTTTGGTTTAATAGCCCACCAACAAAATTTAGATCAATTGAAATATTATTATATATTTATTTGTAAACATAGCATAGCAATATTCGTATGTAGCCAGGCTTATCCAAAAGCAACAAGTTCTTGGAGCAAAATGGTTAATTATTGAATTCAAACAGTATGGAAACAAAATGTTCAAGTCAATGTAGGAAGTTTAACATGAAATTACATGTACAGTATGTACATAAGAAAATGTTACAAAACACTGCTTGTTTCTCCAACTCAATACTGAATGCTTAGCTAAATATTGACTGATGCTATAATTTTACATTTATTTGAGCCGCGCCATGACAAAACCAACATAATGGGTTTGCGACCAGCATGGATCCAGACCAGCCTGCATATCCACGCAGTCTGATCAGGATCCATGCTGTTCGCTTACAAACCCTATTACAAGTAGAGAAACTGATAGCGAACAGCATGGATCCTGATCATACTGCGCGGAGGCGCAGGCTGGTCTGGATCCATGCTGGTCGCAAACCCAATATGTTGGTTTTGTCATGACATGGCTCATTTCATATTTCACACTAGCTTTGAACTTAAGTGAGCACCTTTCATCATTGCAAAATAACTGCTAATATTTCACAAACAACACAAAGCATCATTGGCCAATGTCTGGGAAATATGCATCCATATACCCCTAGCTCTCACAATTGTTCAAAGAACTGATTTTTCTCAGGATTAATATTAATAAACACTAAATTGCTCAAACTTTAATGAATAGTAATAAAATTTAAACCATGTCCATTAAAACATACATGTATATTAACAATTAAAGTGTCTGTCTGTACATTTATGCAACAGAGAAAAATAAGGTGCATAGTAAGTTAAAGAAATTATACATGCAATAACCTGCATACAGCAGAGCAGAAAGGAATTTTGTGGCCATTTTCAAATATTTTTCTTTTTTTCTCAAAGAAATTTGTTACTTCACGCAGACTGCCTCACATGATAATTATTGTGGGACATTCTCTTACAGAATTCAATTACAGGTTCAATTACTATTTCAAATAAGTTGTTTCCTTCCTGTATATTTTATTTCTTCATACGATTAACGAGGCTAAATATAGGGATAATACAAGGTCATCATAAATTAATAACTAGCGTATATATTGTCTCTAGATATTCTATATTGGCATAATCTGGCATGTATCTTATAAATGTTCTCTAGAGAAGCAGGGTACAATAAAATAAATATTACATTCAACCGTCCTAGCAGTGGCCTGAAAAGAGATATATAGATAGTACATGACAAACTGTCACATGAGAGAGACTATAGGTAGTTTGTGACAAACTGTCATAATAGAGGTGCAAATATTGAGTGCATCTACATAAACACATGGTGAAATAAATAAAAAAGTGCTTGATAAGCAAGGGTAGGTATCAGAAATATAATCATTCCAGTACGAAAATGACTTTGATTTCATGGCTGGATGTTTGTTAAACTTATTCCATCTTATCTGCTGAACTTAATTTTTTTTTTTAATGTATTTTTCCATCTTTCACTTTTAAATGGAATATTATCAATTTTAGGATTTTCTTGAACTAAAACTAGAAATTTGTGTCAATAATTTTGGATTCAACCAGAATGCACAGATGCTCAGGCAGGCCAAACTGTATACTTGTGACATAGGCTTATTTCAGTTCAAGCATTGCTAGAGTCAAGATTCTATAGTAAGACATCCTAACATGAAATAATAATTTAAAATTACATATTTTATCAAAGGTATATATTTCATACCAATCAAATGATCGAACTTTCAAAATCTAATCAAAATCACTAATAAGGCTTTATAAATAGCTTAAGGTGAATGTAACAGGCATAATGTGTAACTCATCAAAACTTTATACATATACATTGAATGTATATAATTCATATACAAATGTACTTAAGCTAACACTTATATAATTCATATACTTAACCTAAACCTTTGTGCAAATTCATCTTATTCAGTCATAACCAAAACTTTTTAATTTGTCTAAAAGAACGAAACATCTGAAAAAAGACTAATAACAACTGAACAAATTTTGCAGACAAGGTGTGTGTTATTACTATTAGGAATATGGGGAGGAGAGGAAAATTTTGTGCGCAAGAAAGTAAGTTCATAAATAATAACAAGAGAGGGGTCCTGAAAGTTAAAACAATGGATTAATACATCACAATGGTTATGTTATATTAACATGGACAACAGTTTTTATATTTTTTAATAATATATCAGATTAAAACAGGGTGCTGCAATAAGCAATGGTGCATTTAGGGTTTTAAACTGAATACCTTCTGGCTCAAATAACATTTTCTTAATCATATCATGAAGCTCGTCCCTATTAAGAGACCCTCGTGGGACCTCTTGTGAGGCTTCGATACGATTTCTAAACTGAAATCTAGGACGATCGTAAGTGTCTAGATCGTACTCAGAAAACAGACTGTTTGATGAACTCTCAGCTGAAATACCAACATTACACACTCATCATAGTGTTAACAACAATAAGAAAACTAACACCCAGAACAAACAACATGCAATACATGGTGATATGCTAAAATATGAACAAATTTACAATGTCCTGTTGATGATGGAATGAATAGCAGTTTAAATCAAAATTTCAGAATGTTGGTAGCGCTATACATTCTGTCGTTTATCTTGTGTCTTTAAACATACATGTACAATTAAAATTTCAATAAAAAAAAGAAAATATTTTAATTATCATTTAATATCTAAAATGATTTTGAGTCTGTTACATGTGTTCATACAATAAAATTCATTAAATTCAATTAATCAAGGTGAAAAATTCTAATTAAATCTTAAGTAAATTACTTAATATTAAGCTGAGCATAACCATGCCTAATATTTTAAACGGTTAACAAAAAATAGCAAAACAGGTTAGTAAAGAGTTGTTAAATTTTGTTAAATTTAAAAAATGCACATTTACATACAACTCACCACGTATAACTTTATTGTAGAATAAGAGATGAAAAAAAAAGTATATTAGTATGGAGAGATTTTACAATTTAGTGAGAAATGAAAGACAATTAAAGATTTGGGAATGCTGAAATACAAAAGAAAGCAGTATGATCTTTGGCATTATAAATTGAACTTATTACTATAAAACTGATTTTTCTTTTATAGTTACTGTAAAGAAAAAGTTCATGACTAAAATGACCTTTGATCTTTGCCCTACTTTTTCGTCAAATGAGGAGACCTAAATTTGGAAATTTCTGACAGTCTATTTCGGATAAACTGTCCTCAAAAATGTTTATATTAGTATTTTTTTCAGATGTTATGTCTATCTGGTCATACACTATGCATGTCTTGGTCACTCCTTTTGTCTTTGAACTGTTTAAATCATTTAATTTTTTTCTTTTTACTGTCTTACTATTACTTAAACATTACATATATAATTCAAAGAAGATTTTTTGTTGCAAAATTTCTATCATGTCACTATAACAGTAAAATAAAATATGTTTTTTTCATCATATTAAAAATATTTTAAGATTGCCAAATATCACATGCCATGTTACAAAAATCACAATCATTTCACATTTCTAAAGTGCAACTAAAATATAAAACAATACAGTCAAATATAAAATAAGGTAGAGTTCAGGTGAACATAAGACTAGTAAGTGCATGGTGTAGGTACAAAAACTAGGGTGATTCAGTATAACTCACACGCTACTTGTCTTGGTTTTTCAAATTTTGGAATCTCAAAAGTTACGGGCAGTTCTGGCTTCTTATCAACAACAGTTTTCTGTTGTTTATCCTCCTCATCATCATCTATAGTAATATATCTTAGTTGTTTAATGAACACTAACTCTTTTTAATTACAGTATTTATTTAACACAGAAAGTCCTAATAAACCTTACGAAGAAAATAACGAAGAAAATAACACAAGTAAGCAACGTTAAATTTGCGAATAATAAAACTCACTGGCCACTAAAAAGTCCATTGTTTTTAAGGAATATAGTTTGAATTACAATATTATCTTTTAATTTGTCTTCCATTTTTTTTAATCAATATAGTTGAATTACAAAATTATCTTATAATTTGTCTTCAATTTTTTTAACCAATATAGTTTGAATAACAATACATATCATTTGATTTGTTTTTCTAGTTTTTACACATTTCACTTGATCTTTCTTACTATCCAAGAAGCACCTTTCCCAACAATATAATCATATAAAGAGAATGATTTTTTTCTCAAAATTGTACAGTTTCATAAGAAAAATCAATGAATAATCTTGATCCTATAAATGATAATCTTCTATTGGACATATACTCAATAAAACTGTCAACAATTTTAATGATAATATACATATTAAAATAAATTCAAGCTTTCCCGTTTAAGAATTTTAATTCATTACATAAAACATTTTTGTAAACTGAGAATATCCAGAGAGAAATATTTTAAAAGTATACTAAACATCACCTTAGTGCAATAACTAGGTAAGTCCTATTAAATTTAGAAAGACTTAACCTGTTACTGCACTAGGGTTAAGTAATGTCTTATATAGCTATTATTGGCTTAGTTCTGTGATACAGTAAGTTCTTACATGGTATGACAGCAAGATACTCCAATGAACATAAAAAATATTAAAACTTTTTTATTTTGATTTGTCTTATTATATATACATGTTCATGTATTAACTAGAACATAGTTAAAACTTTAATTTTTTACAGAAGAAAAGAACATATTTTTACCTTTTCTCTTCAACAGTTCCAGCTGTTCCTTGAATTCAACTGTACGTCCTACAATAATTACAGCATTATTATTTCAGATTTGAATATGTCACATGGTGATCAGTTGGTCATGTTATAAACTAATACATCTTTGTTCTCCTGAATGCATTATGCTTATTGAAAAAGTATACCTGACATAAATGTATGTCTTCTTTATTTATAAAAGTGTTCTTGGGACTATAAACAGTATAAATTATTCCTGATGACATCAGCAATCTGACGACTGCCTAAGTGGGCATTATCATATTGTTATTTCACAACTAATATGGGGGTGTAAAACAGCAAGGAAAATTTTACAAAATGCTTGTTTATACATGCCAAAAACTTTTCTTACATCTTACTTGAATTTTCTATTTTCAAACAATATGACTTCATAGAGATAATTTAAAGTGTGAAATAGTCCATACCAGGGCTGTTTTTGAGACTTTCTTCATTTGAACCAAATTTAAATGTATTCTTCAATAGGCTCACTTCACAATCCATTAGAATCACATGTTCAGTGATGTCAAAACATGAAAATTACCTTTTTGGACTGGTTTCACTTTCTTCTTTTTCATGCCCATTTTCATGTTGTATGTAATTCTCTTAATTTCATCATATGCCATTTTCCAGTCTATAACCATTCTATAACCCTTAGCTTTAACAATCATTTGTTCTAGATTCTTGATACCTTCAGCCAAACCTGTATATAAACAAAGACTTAATGTAAGTGCTTACTTATAATTGTATAAAAACAAAGCATTCATTGTATCAGTGGGTATCTGAGATGGTTTTATGATTCTAAAGGGCCACAAAGTGGACTGCCATGGGACAAGTGTAAAAAAAAAAACAACAAATTATTCAGATAAATTGAACTATTCTTAAGCATAATATAACTTAAAGATTATTTCAGGAAATGTGTTTTTATTTATACAATACAGTCTAAACTATAATGATATTTATCTTTGATAATTATCAAGTTTTAAGTGAGAGTTTGAAAATATAGCAAATATATTTACCTAACTCATGGCATTTTACCATCCATAGGTCATCAGTGGCACATAGGTATCTCCATCTTCTAGATACCTGTAATTGTACAAACATGCATAACTTATCCTGTGGCTATAAATCAAAATCCATACTGTGCCGAAAAGGCCTTTAAAATTTTATTACCTACTTCACTCTTAAAAAGACAATTGTTTCCCATAAATTAACCCAAAGCAGTAAGGCAGTAAGAAGGTACCAATATGATGAGATAATTTTCACAATGCAAAATGTTTCTTCATTCTAAACAAGAGCTGTCAATAAGACATTAGGCACAATTTTCCCAATCCTTTTTTTATTAGCAAATATTGCACAAAAACCTAAAAATAATAATTTTTTTACTAGATTACCTTTTTGATATGGGTTAATGAGAAAATTATTTTACCTGGGTTACAAACAATTTGGCATATGCAAGCAAGCAAGTTTTGCATTTTAATTTTACAAGCTTTCATTATCAATCATAAGTGAGTAATGGTTCATATTATACAGTTTTTACAATGTGTAAAATGTGTGATACAAAAATACCCATGCACCTACCCTCTTGACTTTAGAAAGTTCATCAGCTGGTATGAAGGAGAAAATGTAGAGCAAAAGTTTGTCCGACATTCTGCCAATATCTCTTGCATTTCTCAGTCTGAAAAATTAACCAAATATATGATTTTACATGCATTTATAACCCTGAAAGAATCCATATCTTATAACATTAATTAGCATTAAACTGTAGACGAGAAATTTGCAACCCATGGAATACATAGTTTATTTTGGTTGGGTTTCATGTCTCACCAAATACAGAAGAGCTCAGTGGAGAAAGATCTCAGGTACTCCTCTTTGCATTTTTTCAGGCATGAACAGGCAATGAATTAAGAAAAACATGGTACACAACAACCTGTTTATGACTTAAATAATTGTTTAAAAGTAGATCTACAATAATAACTTGTTTGTTTGTTTGTTTCATTTTACACCTTTTCCCAACAGTATTTCAGTCATATAGGCAGGTAGTTACCTAATCATCGTTCCTGGAGAGTTACATCAGTACTAGACTACCTTCCTCGGTGCTAAACTACCAAAGCATCTCCCGGGGATTGAACCCATGCCAGAGAGGTAACTGGATTAGAAGTCATCGACTCTAACCCCTCGACCACGGAGGCGGTTACATTTGTTGAGACTTTTAAGCTAAGGTATAACTGTTTTTCAACCACACATGTATTACTAATATTTTAAAATCAAATTTCTTGTAAATTTAGAGAATTTTAATCTTACTTTTGTTCAAGATGACCACAAAGAAAGTTCAGATCTTCTGGACAACATAACTTTATCAATTCTTTTAATAAAGCAATCTTTTCATAGTCTTCCCATAGTTCCATCCACTGAAAGTTAATAAATATAATCTCAAAAAGCACATATAAAGACAACGAGGAATATATCATAATATATCATTAAACTTTTTATCACTATAACTTTATCTCAAGCCTTTGCATTTTCGGCATACAGAATTCACATTAAGAGTAAATAGCTAAGAACAACAAAATAGAATAGAGAAAAACAGAATCCCTAAAAACTGAAAAAAGTCCAAGACAATAAAATTGAAATTATTACAGGCTTGGTTTGATACAAGTCATCATTTCATTACTTGTACTGAATAAACTTTAAAAAAAGTTTTTACTTCCCATGTCCATGTCCACATGTAAACAGGCTGGTGAAAATGCCCAATCGGGCTTAAGACATAAAATATCATATTTCTAGAAAAATAATTAAATTGTTTCTTTCTAACTTGTTTTGTTTATTCAGCATTTATATATGAAACAAATCAATATAGAATTATTTTGGTTATCTTTTATTTTCTTAGAATTATTTCCCTTTTCCCCATTTTCTGATAACAAAAAAATTGAAGTTCATAAAAATTATGTTGTAACATAAAATTCTTAATAGAAATGTGTCCAACAACTTCATTTTGCTTTAGATTATTGCGCCAGTACCTAAATTCAATATATTTGGATTAAATATTCTGTTTCTGACATTTATATTTTGAAAATTCTTAGAAACTGAACATTATACTTTGAAGTTTTCTCTGAAAACTGAAGGAAATGTATGTTGACAGGTGTTGGCGCAATGAATTAGACCATAAAGAAGTTATTTAACCTATTTTGTGTTACACTTTGCACAAAAATTATGTGTTGTAAAAACATGAAAAAGGGGAAATAATTCTCACAAAAGAGCTAGTAGCCAAATAAACTTCTTTCTGTTTACCTCAAATATTATTCTGAATAAACAAACAAAGTTTAAAAGGAATATCTTTATTATTTTTCTAGAAATATGATTCTTATGTCATAAGCCTGATCGGGCATTTTCACCAGCCTGGTAAATGCTTCTTTACAATTATTATTACCGGATATCTATGAAACAGCAATATTTTACTTTCATCATTATACAACTATTATTCAATAACTATCGTGGTTAAATGTCTATGTCCCCGGGAGGGGTTTGACGTTAAAGTATGATAGAAAATAGATGGATAATTCATCATAATTAGAAAAAAAATTTTTGTCTTGCTAAAGTAAAGGCATGCACTTTTCTCTGTGAAATTGTTCTCGGACATAAGAGTCCAATGGCATTTTTCTCTCGATACTGATTCAGTGTGAGATTACTAGTTAGTCACTTGGAGAAATTGGTTATTACTGGTAATTTATCTAGAAATATTGTCAAAGATGTGTTAAAATCAGCATTAGAAAACAGAAATCCAAACCAACTTACACTCCAGACTTGATGCAATTGATCCTTGAAGTAGGCCCCAAGTTCATCTTTCTGTGCTGGTACCAGGGATTTACCATCACCTGGCAATTCTGTCCACCATTTTACACTTTTGTACATTTTTGAGATAGGTACAGGCAAACTATGCATACCAATTGGTCTCCTTACTATTCCTGAACGTAAATGCTGCAAACCACCTACAAACAAAGTAATATCTCATGTTTTTCCAATTCAAATGGAATTTTTGACAGGGTTTACATAAAAACAGGTAGTCAACTTGTTTACTATTTACTTTTCAAAGAAAGATACATGTATCATATGTCCATAAATACATTGCTTTAAACATTTATAAGCAGTAAGAGTGACCAATCTTTAAAAAGTTAGAACAATCATAAGATATTTCCAAAAATATCAATATTTCTTTTTTTAATACAAACTAATGGAGCACAGGCATATTTCTATACTTGAATTATCTTAATAAACTAGGAGCAAAAAATAAAATGTTTTTAGGGCATTATCATACAAATTGTCTCTTTCAATCAAAAAGATTTAAGTTATAAACTTGTTAACAAGCAGTTTACCTTGCAAACTAGAGACACCATCTTTCCTGAAGTAGTCCGGAGTTTTGAGAGACCGGGCACCAAACAGATGGTACCTAAGGTCACTGAGTGTACTGTGAGTGACTGCGGAGAAACTACGAGATACCACTGAACGAGGACTTGTCACACGTTTACTGTCTCTTACAGTGTTGTCATTGGAATCTGGGATAAGGAGGCGTACAAGAGATTTGGGTCTTCCTTCCATCTTGTAAAATCTGTTTGATTTATCACCCTCTTTTGGTGGTTTATACCTTGAAATGTAGAACACAATTGTAATACAAAATAGCAAACAAGATCTAAGTACAGATTTCTAAAATATTCCCTTTTTTAACAAGTTTTAAATCTATCTATTTGTCAGAGAATAGAGAAAAACGTAGTCACTAGAGAACACCCAAAAGAGCAAAATTTGGAATAAATATAATTATACATTATAAAACTCTCTGACTGAAATAAAACATAATACATGTCCTATCAATATCAGTATCAATGCCATGGACTTGAAATCAAGTACAGATTTTTCAAGAATAGAACCTATTATAACATCCTAAAATTTTACCATTTTATATGCACATATTATATTGATAAAACTATATATTTACTTCCTGTATTTATTTAGAACAGACAAATCAATCTGTTTTTCTTCTACTTCTGTTGCCGTGGTTTCAGTGTAGTTGCCTTTATGTGTCTGAATTTTTGGTGGTTCCACTTTTGCAATAACTTTAACATCTTCCTTTGGTTTTTCGTTTGGTTTAGCTTCCGGCAATCTTGTTTTCTCTGTCTGCTTTTTAATAGATTTCTCTTTCTCATCCATGATATTACCAACATGTTCCATGGCTTGCTGCATTATACTACTAGCAAGGTCCTGAGCATAGAGTTCCGATGGTTCAAACACCTGTACTGTCTGTGGAATAGACTCATCAATAATTCTCTTAGCAACAGAATCAGCATAGGATTCAACATTGTCAAATTTATCTTCAATATTTGTAAACTCTTTAGTTTTCTCTTGCGGTATCATAGAAAGTTGTTTCTTATGTGTTCGACTTTCATCCAGCCTTTCCTTGAATGTTTCCTGATCATGTGAAGCAAGGACTTCTCGGTTTGTATCAATTACAGATTCCGGTGTTACAGCACCAGCCAAGGTTCCATCTACATTTAATGTTCTCTGATACTCACTCTCATCTTTTCGAACAGTTTTTTTCTTCGTCTTTTTCTTCTTTTTCTTCCTTCCTTGTTTGTCTTGTATATTTTTCAGAGGTGTGGTTGGGTATTGGTGTTTAACTGCCACAGTATAATCTCTGTGACGTATTGGTTCTAGTGTTGTAGCCAGTATATCCACTTGCCGCACAGAACATCTAAATTAAATTAAGCGAGCACAAAACTTAAAATGGTGTTGTTACGAGCATACAGATAAAAAATCTTAAATGAATATCGCTGTTGTTTATTACAGAAGTCAAAGCTTATAGTAATATTTAGTTGGTTTTTGTTCTTATTTAAATCTTAAAATAAGTTTAAACGAAGCTTACATGTATTTTAATTGGTAGAATATTCCGTTACAGTCATGCTTGGTTTTTTTTAACACCCAATACCATATTTAAATGGAAAAATTTGGTGTAAAATTACCAAGCATCTCTTCTGACATATTTGTTTGTTTCTTGTATTTACTTAAGAAATGAAATAGTGCCAAGTTTTTAGAAGCTTTTTCCTTGAAATAGTGAATGAACAGTATGAACAGAACATATATTTATATAAAATCATTTAAACAGGTATGACAGTGAATTATACACAAGAAATTAGGAGTATTTATCAACACATCAGTGTATCGCTGATATTTGGCATCCAAAATTGATGTATCATCAATATGCTTTGCACTGAATCAATGACAGCTCTAAAGCTGGTATCTATTTATGAAATTCAACAAGTTAAGGGTTAACTACATTACTTAAATATACATGTAATTATAAATATAATCTGATCAGCATTGAGAAAACAAGTTTTTTTCTTTTAAATATGCTTTTACTTTGGAGCAAAATATAATCATTTGTCAATTTACCTGTCCACAATACCACACAGTAACACTTTCTGTTGCCATGGTCTCCAGCCATCATACCACTCACATACTGTCTTATATATCTGTTGATTGTTGAGAGTGGAGTAACTTTGTGAAACCAACTTTCTATCTACTGGCACAGGTGGTAAGTGTACTATCCCTTCAAAATTGCCAAACCTAAGTCCATCTGGGTGCTTCAGAAAAGCAGCCCGAGTATGCTCTATAGGGGCAATGAAGGCTGGCATGGTGCAAGTGTGTCGATATGAAAGTTATAGGGTCACTGATGAACCATCTGAAAAAAGGGTAAGATGCAAAATACTGAGGTGAACCATCTGAAAAAAGGGTAAGATGCAAAATACTGAGGTTTAATTAAAACCATGTTAAAAAAAGGATTACATTTATATTTTTGTTACAACTGGAGTAAGGGCTATTTTTGCATATTTAAAACAGAAATAGCTTGTAAATACACATGTACGTTCGGGCTAAAATAAAATATACCAAACTCGCAGATACAATTATGTGCTATTATTATGTATAATTTTGTTTTAATAAATTTGCCAATATTCATGACATTGGGCACCTGCTAAAATTTATGGTAATTGGAATTATTTGGAACTTTCATGTATGACAGCGATCAAAATAACATCAAATTCTAATAGAAAATTAAAGATCTGTAAAATTGTATATGAAAATAATACATCAGCCTTTTCATTCTGTTGAAACTAACTTACTTTTAGTGTTTATCTTAAAAATGACGGAAAGTTGTTTTCATCCGCCATTTTGTTTCCATGTTGTTTCGTACAAAAAACTTTCGAACCTCTGTATTTCGCTCCTCATAGAACATGCCAATAATACGCAACTGTCTTGTGCATGATAGTAATAAAATATAAAATATTCTGTACGAACAATTGTTATCAGATAAAATAAAGGTTTATCTCATGATATATTTAAAGAATTTAATAACATTTATGTTGTTTTCACGATCTTATGAAGTTGTATCAAAATGTCTCTGTTATTTGATACACATGCATATTGCATGTTAACGGAATAAAAATGTTTCCGGCTATTCTAAGTGAGATTTTAACCATTAAGCAATGATTTCGTGACTAAGGAAATATGCAAACGTATTTCTTTCATACAGGTATTTCAATTATTTTTTTTTCAAAATCCAAACAATTATATTGTATGTTTCACATGTATAGCTCTATATACTTAATGTCATCCGCATGTTAAAAGAAGTTGAGAGAGAGAAAAAATCGTTCTACTTATGTATACACGTTTAAGCAGGGTATTTCAAATTTGAATGACCCTGGTTAAAGCAATCAACGAATGAATCTTCCTGTACATGTGTGCAGAAAATGTTAACATTAATTATGGAATGCTGACTGTTATTTTAGTTTTCCTTTAGCAATCAAAATTATGTAATTCTTTACTTATTTGTATTTTTAGAAGCTATGACCTTGACCTTGATCCTAGGGGGCCAGAAGAAAGCCCAAGCTGATTTCCACATAAGACTGTTTTATAAACTTAACTTGAGTACAAAATGTCATTCCCATAGTTGTTTTGTTATTAACCGTAAACCATTCAATCATAGAATGACCCTAGAGAGTCAAAAGACATCACGAGCGACGAGGTATCCATATTGACTTCCTAAATATATCAAGTCTGCTCTATCGTAATTGACCGGAAAAACGTTTTAAACGCCGGCCCAAACGCCCGCAAGCCCGTTCCGTCATTTGCCAATTTGACTATTACAAATTTAATGACAAAATTAGTCGAATTTCTTTACAGTACCCGTTTTACAACATTGATAAGAAGAAAAATATTTCAAATATTTTGTTTACAACACTCCACACGTAAGCATCAGTATCTCAGAGCACCACCCGAGTTTTCGAAAAAATGTCTTCATTATTTTCATTTGAACATAATCGTATTTATTATTAAATTAATTCAGTTCAAGGCCCATTCTGACCCAGAATTGCCTTCCCCCTCAAAAGCCTTTTATTTTCGTTGTCCTGATATACTGATTATTAAAGTGCTCATAGCTCGTATAGGAAATAAAAGTTTACTTACTTTTAGAAATGAAGACACTCTTTCAGTTCATATCAACTAAGTTTGTTTTCATGAACCAAGTAAAAAATGACAGCAAAAGTCCACGGACTTTTTGAACATACTCATAGTTACCTAAAATTAAGCTGCACCATAGGCGAAGCACATGAACCATCCAGCTTTTGCTTCTTTAGCTGTTTGGCAATTAAAGTTGGAGAATTTAGTATTTTTATGGAAGAAAAATTACTACTTTGTTGACAATGCTACTTTTATGACAAATAATTTTACATTTGGCACTACTTTCTACAGGTAATAAGCACACAACATGCTTAAAACCATTACTTTAACGCTCTAAAACTCCTATATGCCCTTTCTAGAGGATAGAAAAATATTTGTTTCTTGGGGATAATTTATTTTAATGTGCCGTTCAAGGACAACTCCTATTCGAGCTTGGCGAAAGAGATACAATTATACATATATAGCTAAATTAAACTGGACTCTCACAGCTTTCCATCGAAACGTTTAACACCATGAGATATACGACTTAGTTCAAGTTGATATTCTTCATCCCTGGTCTAGTTGGATTCCAGGAATTTGACATTTGCAACATAAATTTGCATGCGTTCACTACTCTTTTAAAATCTTAAATTTGTTGTGAGCAAATGAGGATATTTAATAATGTCAATAATATTGCAATGTCATTTTACCTTAGGAGGATGTCTTTTTGCTCGACACTTGTATCATAATGATTAAAGATACCAAATTAATTTCACTCATATTCTGAGATAACTAATACTAATAAAGACATTTCTATCAAATGAGTTGTATTGTACGGCGGGGGATATCGATGCAACAAACTTGCTCGCTTTATATCTATTTCCAATTGTTTTCTTTTACAAGATATTTAAATATGATCAATTTGATGATATTTGTAATGCCTGGCATGTTAGTGCATATCTTACTTGAGCTGTAACTACAGTAGTTCAATGATAAGAACACTCTCCTTCACTAGAGAGATCCGGGTAAAGCAGAAATAGCTGTTGCAATACTAATCATTTATATTTTACTTATATTTTGATGAAAGAAATTACAATACACCGTCCGTCTGCCCACTTCCACCGTGTTCGCTATATGAATTCTATACTCCTTGGAATATTTTCTTCAAATTTTGTTTAAATGATCATTGTAAAGATTTTATGCAGCTGTCTGTGTTGTGCTGGCTCAAGGTACAGGTCACTATTGAAGGTCATTATTAGACATGTCGGGTCAGCGCTATAACGAATTCTATATACTTCTTGTAGAATTGTGTTCAATTTTGTACAATCTTGTATGAAAAAGTTGATGTGCAGAATTCATGCGGCAACAGTGCAGACTCAAGGTCACATTTGAAGATCAAATGCAAGACAAGGTTTTCTTCAATATAATATTATGCTAAATGTTAATATTAACGATGTAAAACTGTCGTCACAAGATCACATCTGAAGGTTGTAGGGGATCAGAGGTTATGAAGATTGCATATCACAGACAGGCCGTCAAAAACAGATTTTAAAAGTAGGTATATAGCAAGGGTGATTGAATACGGTACTGTATTCTAGTAGGAATACGGGAACGCTCCAACGAGAAAAAGGTCAAACATAAGTAGCTGAAATACTAAACTACAACAATAACAAATAATATCGAGCTGTACAATTTTCAAGGATAGGAAATGTAACAGTATTAATAAAAAAAATGTATATATTTGTTAAACTTCAAGAAAAGAACATAAAAAATTCTAAATAAGAAGGACTTAGTGTTAATAATCACTTTCGAGGTGCATCTGTTGATATAATTCTACCAAATATTCACAATGAAACATTATAATATTAATAATTTGTAATTGCCAATCAACATATTAAATGTACATCATATACAAAAGAGTCTTCAGCATAAAAAACCACAACAAAACACTTAATGGGACATTTAATATAAGCATTATCAGTTATGCAAATTGAATTCAAATATAGAATAGTGTACTCTTTTCTTTTTTTAATGAAAACACTTTTTTATTATAAAAAAAAAACACCTTCATAAACGTTATGCATGATATATTTAATTATTATTTAGATAAAACAATTTAACAGGCGGCAGATCCACCGTTCTCTTTCATGTTCGTATTATCAAATTAAGATTTTTCAGGTCGATCAGACAGAACTAGATCGAGCTCCCTTTCAGGTGATTCCGAATTAAATAACCAGTTAATTTTAAGAGCGAGTTTGACATAATTTATCAAGAGTTGTGTCTATTTCGTTAGTATCCTCATGTCTACACCATCCCAACGAACATTCTAATGGACAAGCAGTTGAATTGGTAGAAAATTCTAGCACCCGAGCGGAATAACACATGTTTGCTACACTACAAACGTCCGTGCAATTATCCAACATTTTATCAGGATCGCCACAGTCATACAGCGTTGTATTGTTCGGGCTGCAGTCTGAAACAGAAGTGTGTACATTTATGTTAATGGCTCATTATCCCTCAGAGATACATATTTGAGCCGCGTCGTGACAAAACATACAAAGTGTGTAACTTGCGACCAGCATTGATCCAGACCAGCCTGCGCATCCGGGCAGTCTGATCAGGATCCATGCTGTTCGCTATCAGTTTCTCTACTTGCTATAGGGTTTGTAAACGAACAGCATGGATTCTGATCAGACTGCGCGGATGCACAGGCTGTTCTGGATCCATGCTGGTCGCAAACCCATTATGTTGGTTTTGTCGTGACGCGGCTCATTTTTTCTTCTCTAGAAGGAGCACAAATGAGTTGAATAATGTTTCAATAATGGATTTAAACAATATTAGACGCTTATCACCGATAACATGTATAGTTAATCTGCTATAAAGACATACAGAATACTAAATCACTCTAAATGTACTATATGCCAAAACAGCATAAGAAGTAAAAGATGGTTCGGCCATATGGCAAATGAGTACTTTTGGGAGAGGACACTCATAAGCTTTATAGCCCAAAATGTACTTTGTAAATATTGATAAATTGTTAAATGTTTTGTTGAATAAATATAATTAAACCAAATAAGTACTTTTGCCGAATTGGTAACAGGACACGACAAATAAAAAGGTTTTGAAAAATGATTATTTTTTTTATTTTTTAGGGCATTATTGGCTTTTAATTAAGGAGTATATGGCTAGTAACAGTGTACATAATTATATACTTTAGCGCTTTTGGTGTTAATGTAAAAATTATCAACACAAAATAAAACAGCTTAGTTTAGTTTATACCAATTTATTTTAGTTCGATTGTGTTGGAAGCTTTAAGCTTATTGAAACACTCGAATCCGTTCCTGGAATCAACCACTACTAAGCACTGAGTGTAAAGTTTCTTGCTCACAGGAACAACGGCTTTTACCTGACGGGGTTTGAACCCACGCGGTCAGCAATCCTTAGATTACTAGTCCGTAGCGTTAATCACGTTAAAATATATTTTTTTTTACCAAAAACTGTTTCGCATAGAAATGATATTTGTTTTTTCTTATTTCTTTAGTCATAAAAAATCATTGTGATATTTGCCTGGGAAATTTAAAAAACACACTACGAAAAACCCAAAGTAAAATGTAATAAACATACACATTTACAAAAGTAAAAAGTAAAATTAAAAAAAAAGGGATGAAAAATGATGCATACCGTTTCATTTTCTTTTAAAAACAAGAAAAACAAAACTCTTTTTCTCTAAAGACGTCACTTTCCCTCCATTAATGTACGTTTAAGGGAAAATTTGGGTTTCCCCTTTATCAAAAAAAAACTTTACCAGATATTATGGCATTACATTTAATGCTGTATCCATCTTTGTTAGAGTATGTCGTTGTGCAAGTACGAGTACCTGAAATAAAGAGAAACAATGTAGATGTTTACCCTTTTCCACGCACAATATAGTAAACGGACTTGTCCATCTTTCAACCTGGGCAAAACCATTCATCACATACAGTATAGGCAAAATTTAATAATATTTACTGACTTAATAGCGAACAATACAGACGGTGCCCACCGGCCGATCTTAGTCTTGTCGCACAGGCAGAATCTGTTGCCGCCGGCAAGCTCAACATTACCTAACCTAACTTTGAAATTAACAGTAACAAACAATCTGATGTCAGCAGGGTTAAGGTTAAAACAATTCTTGTTTTAACTTTAATACATTTTGTACTTGTTTTAAAGTTTAATGGTTGGTAATTTCTTAAAGAGGCAAAATATTGCAAAACATTTTTTGATGAGATTTAACGTTTTGGTAAATCATTGCAATGAAATTTAAATTGTTATCAACATTATAAAATGTCAGAATTATTATGTTTAATGAGTTAGAGGGGGTTTCAGGGAACTTAAGTGTTTAAATTCCATAATTCAAATAATTCATTTGTATAGGTCTTTTCACAAATTCATAACAATTTATCAAAACGAAGAACACGTACTGTTTCATGAAATACTTTTTACATAAAGTTTACAAATTATTTTATTGTCAAAAAATGTCGCATTTGAATATATTTTAAGGTATCGGCATTTATGAGCAGTCTTATTTGATACAGTGTAACTTGTGAAAACTGAACACCTTTGTGACTAGCCAAAAAGTTTGGAATTTGGAAGTTTCCATAATTCAGAAGTTTAGAATTATCTGAACAAGAAGTAACATTAAACATTCACTTAGATAAGTTGTTTTAGTGCATCCGCGCAGTCTGATCAGGATCCATGCTGTTCGCTTACCAAGTCTATTACAAGTAGAGAAACTGATAGCGAACAGCATGGATCCTGATCAGACTGCGCGGATGCGCAGGCTGGTCTGGATCCATGCTGGTCACAAACCCATTATGTTGGTTTTGTCGTGACACGGCTCAAATTTATAAATGGCTGAATTTGATGATTCTTTATTAGATTATTATATTTCATTATCATCTGTAACTGATTTGGTGAAGTTCAGGAATTCGGAAGTTACACACTATTTTCTATACACTACCTGCTATATCTTTTCCTTCTCCAAGAAATTTTATTACATGATTAGAACAGTCTTGTGTATATTCACAGGTCAGGTTGAAGAAATTTGAATTATTTCCGACAAAAATCTGCCTGAGTGAAGTTGTAAGAGACGAGCTTGGAACTGAAAATATAGAATAATTTTATTATGTTTTATCAACTTGTAATAGTTGTTTATATAATAATATGGTCATTATCTACTCACCTTTGCTATATGTGTTCATAAGCATTTGTACTAACTTAAATCTAAGACTTAAAATACCTTTTAGTTTTTGTCTCATCTTAAATATCAAATTGTGTAAAAGCAATTTACGTGCGTACTTTACGAATTTATAATACATATATGCTTGAACTACCATAACAAAAAGCATTTCTGTATCCTGATAATTCTGAGTTTAGCGAAAGATTACTCCACGAAACGACTTATATATACATGTAAATTTACCTTAAATAATAAAACTACACAAAGTTCAGCAACATACCTATAACGTTAACTCTAACCGTCTTTGTAAACTTTACTTTCTTCTTGTCAAGAAACCGGAGTTCAACTTTTCCATCTGAGCTACAAGTTGTCACATTATTTGCTGTACATGTAACATTCTTTTCATCAACAGATTTAAGACATTGAAAATCAGACGTTTTCTGAAATGACATCAATTTCAAGTAATAAGTAAATGATTCAATTGGGGCTTCCGTTGCCGAGTGGTGCAAGGTCGTTGACTTTAAAACACTTGCCACTCACCGCTGTGGGTTCGATTCCGGGCAGGAACTTGAGATCTTTCATGTGAGAAAGTTATCCAGCTACCTTACGGAACGTCGTTGGTTCTACTCTGGTGTCCGTTTGTACCTGAAATAATGCACGGAATGGCACCTGAGGAGCAGGCTAAATCAAACCGAGCCTGCAACATTTTCAATTTTGTCGTTTTGGACTTTCTTTAGGAATTCCTATTTCCTATATTTCCTCCTTCAGTAGAGCTGGAAAGTCGCCACATTACATAATTATACTGTGTTGGTGCGATGTCAACCCCAACCAAATAATAAAAAAATAAAAATAAAAAAGGATTACATTTTTGAAACGGGCTATGCCATATACTTACTTTGCATGAATATGCGAGCGAGATTTAGATGATGATAACTGATTAAATGAAAAAGAAAGTGAGAAACTAAAATTAAGTTGAAAACGTTTTTTAAAGTTAGTGTTTTTATTGCTACGAGTAACGATTAAGTATTTTAGAGACACTAGTTTATTGAGATGACGACACTTACTGCACCAGCAACGTTCTTATAAATGGCCACAACTTCTTCAGTGATGATTTCCAAAAAACTACATTTTATGACAATTGTATCTCCTAGTTCTACGGAGATACCGTGACACTCTGTAAAGCAAGAAGAAAATAAAAAATATAAATATTTGATGAAATGTACTAGATGCTTAAACCATGTTTTACAATAAATTATGTGAGGCCTAATTGGTTCGAAGATTGATTAAAGAAATACCTATTTTTTCTTTTGAAATTTATCTAAATATTGTGACATAATGCAAAAACAATTAAGGTTCGGTGAAATAAATGGAAAAACACATATCTTGTATCGATTTGATGAACATGTCCTTTTTTATCCAAAAACATGTAATTACAAACACAAACCATATAAAAAATACTATGCTATGCTTAAAAAATGTTGCCAGATTAGCCCTAAGACTACCTCATGTTTTAAACTCTTCACCTGTTCGATTGGCCTTATCTTTTGGCTATCAGTATAGACATCAGTCGACTTTTCCGTACAGTCTGGGCTGGGATTTTACTTTTGGTAGGTTAGTCTTTAATTTTGATATTGATATTTGAAAACCCTTAATCTGGGAATGAACTGTTCCAAACTCATAGCAGGGCAAACCCATTACATATTTCTGCAGGATGGAGGGTAAACAGAGAGTCGTCATCCATTTGAGTATATTCACAGTCCGGAAAGGAAGTTTGAAATTAATACATTTATTTAAAAAATAAAAAGAAGTATACCCACCTTCTATTGGTTTCTTGTCATGTGTTACATTGCCACGTAAATCTGAATAAAGTGATATTGTATATGGGAAATAACAATATGGGAAATAACAATAGTACACAAAAATGTATATCAAATTACAAAATTTGGTTCCAAGTCACTCTGTAATAATCTTGTTTTAAAAGTCAAAAAATAAATAATTTTCACGTTTATTTGAGCAAAAGTATAAAAATTTAAGAAATGTAATGATCGAGTACGTGGCTCAGATGTTACACAATTTGACAAAAATTCTAGGAACACACTCTACTAAAACTAAAATTACATACAGTATTTAAAATGACACCGTACTGTAAACTAATGTCTGATATATGGGATATCAAGTGGTATTTTACATATCATGCTTGAATATCAACAGAAATGTTGATATTGTATGACTAAATATCTAGGGATCAGACTCTAAAAACTATGTTAATAATAGTCCTTAAAATGTCACCTTTAATGTTTGACATTTACACACTGAGTCTGCGCTATAGCACCGTGTCACTTATGTTGTCGTCAATTACACGTGTATAAGTAACCCCTTTTTAAAACGTATAAATTTAAGAAATAAGTTCTTTGCAAAATGATATATCGATTGATTAAATTGAACAGTCTGTTTTATTGTAAAAAAGTATAGACAAGAAACGAGACAAACACAATCAATAATTGAGCCGCGTCATGACAAAACCAACATAATGGGTTTGCGACCAGCATGGATCCAGACCAGCCTGCGCATCCGCGCAGTCTGATCAGGATCCATGCTGTTCGCTTACAAACCCTATTACAAGTACAGAAACTGATAGCGAACAGCATGCATCCTGATCAGACTGCGCGGATGTGCAGGCTGGTCCGGATCCATGCTGATCGCAAACCCATTATGTTGGTTTTGTCATGACGCGGCTCAATTAAGTAAGTACTTTATAATTTTTTTTATTTTGGAAGGATTTAAATAAAATCTATGAGTGACTCACCATCGACTGAGGTTTTATCCCGGAAGTAGTAAACAACAACAACAACTGCAGCAATTAGTGCCAAGACAGCTATTAGAAGACAAAAACACTTTGGTAAGAAGTAGACCTGTATGATATATAAAAAATAAATTTCATGTTAATATTTATTATGTGTAGATTTTACACTGAATGCATAGTTAAATTAACAATTAATGAATTGTTATACATACACTGAGCATTTAATAAATTGGTATATGTGCATTGAGCAACTAATGAATTAGTATAATGCACTGCCCACTAAATGAATTGTTATACATGCACTGAACATTTAAAGAATTAGTGTATCTAATAATAGTTTAGTATAATTGCACTGAACACATGATTTCCTTCATGTATCGATACATATCAATTAAATAAACAATGTTGTCATATAAACAATCAAATTGCCATAATTATAATAATACCGATTTTAGTTTTATTTACTCTCTCACTCGCTCTAATTGAGGTTACTAATGTTACCCTTTTCTCTTTTTCTGGATGTTTGTCAACTTCAACATGAACATCTTCTGTTTTAGTTTCGTTTGTTCTTTCTTGCATCTCCTGATCTTCTTGCTGTTGAAAAAAGTAACAAACAAAACATACTATATAAAGACTTTGCTATGAATGTTACATGTACTAAAAATATATATATTGACATGGTACGAATGGAATAAGATACTTAGTATATAATGTTTTACATATGAATGCTGCTGTGGTCACATATTTTGCTATGTTTTTTTCACATGACGTCACTTGATTATCAATGCCTTTCACCATGCCTGGCCCAATGTTTAATAAGGCTGTAAACAATACTTGATATGTCACTCACTCTAAGTTATCTTCCCTGTTTTATCTATTTTAAAATTTCATCTTTCCTTAAATCCTGTTTTTATCCTTCTTCGTCCTCAGCAGGGATTTGTCTTACCGTAATGTATGATATAATAGCTTGAAAGTTCTATAAAACTTTCAGGTTGTTTTTCGCTATGGACCTTTTATCTATTTTGCAGCGGTGTACGAGTTCAATAGAATCAGTATTGTACGCAACAATGCACAATGAACTCTTTATTTCACACCACATCGGAGAATCACATTAAATCAAAGAAAACACCCAAAATGAAAAATGAAAACAAGGCTACAAAAAGTACGATATGGATTTGATAACGATTTTTTTGAACTCGGAAAATGAATTATTGCATACGGATTATGCACAAAGACGTTAAATTGATGAAATTGGATCAAAAATTGATTTAAATTGGAACATCACGTGGTGCAAATGCTTAAAGTTTATTTGTTACATGTCATTAGGTGTGGGTTGCAGATTTTGTGATTTATTCAAGCGTATCATTTATGTAATAGTAACACTTACCTCATTATGCTGACGAATTCTTTCTCTTTGTGTAACAGCCTGAATAATTGTAAACAAAGATAGAAAATTTTTTTTTTTAAGACGTGAACAAATTCAAATTGTCACAAAATACATGCATTCGGATAAAATCAAACAGATGTAAACAGAAGTCATGTATGTATGTATGTATGTATGTATGTGTGTGTGTGTGTGTGTGTGTGTGTGTGTGTGTGCGTGCGTGCGTGCGTGTGTGTGTGTGTGCGTGTGTTGGTGTGTGCGTGTGTGCGTGCGTGCGTGTGTGTATGTCATATAAGCTACTAGGAAGAAGCGCAATAATACATTAACTTTCACACAGTCTTATAAAAGGTTAAAAATGAAGATTTTTTTATTTCTTTTATAAGAAAATATAAAATTCATTATTTTGATATCAATCTTCGTACTTCGTACTAAATTGTAATTTCATCAAAAACACTATAGTCAAATAACTAAATACTCATACTGTCCAGAGCCAGACATACTTTTTACACACGTGTTTTATTTTCAGATTCCAACCGAAAGACTAAGTAAATATTATGACCATGTATATACAGGCAAAACGATCGTTTCTAAAAATATTTCAAGTAAAAAGATGGGTTAAATTTATATTCGGTAAGGAATAAAGTTGTATTGTTGACTTTTCAGTTAACTCTATCAGCATTTATTTATTGCGTTAATTAAACAGTACAACACATAAATAATATCATATTTTGAGCCCGTGATGGTGGTTAGTGAAATATTATAACTTTTCATGTACAAAAAATGGTTAGGAATTCATAATGGATTAAGAGCATAACAGAAGAAAGTTGCACTGAATGTGCAGCCATGTGCAGTTATGTGTCATAAAGGTAGCAAAATGTATACAAAGTAGTATTTTGACTTCCATGCAAAATACTCAATCACTATGACTATACCTATTGCCAACAGAGCGAAAGAATTAAGTAAAAATTAAAAGTTTTTGAGAAATAAAACTGATATTATTTCTGAGGCATAATGGGCCTCTAAACCAATCTCGGTAACGTCTTAGGGTGCCGTTTTACAAGAAATATAGAAATTACCCTATACTAACTTTTCATGTAGAAATAAGCATTGTAAGGGTCCGTAACAATATAAGAAGGGAACAATAATAAAATATGTTTAACGTCAGTACATCAGCACTTACATGAATTATATTGCATTTTATATACATGTAGGCTATATACTGATTTGTACGTTAACAAGTTCAACCATTATGGTATTTGATACATACACATTGTATTAGTCTTTCATTAAAGGCGACATTAGCATACAAATAAAACAATTGAATAAAACACCGTTAATACCAAGATTTCAGCAAGATAATAAACAAGGAAGCGTTGTTTTAAATCATTTCGGCACAAACAAAAGAATCAAGTACACTCTAGCCAAAATATCAGATATTCATTGACACGTAGACATGCATTATCCTATTTTTCCTTATATACATAATCTATCTATGACTCAATCGTTTCTTCCGTTTACTTTCTGTAAGGTGCAGTTTTCCTTCCACACCTAGCTTTTTTATTTCGTGTAAATTAATAATGATAATATTATAGTAGTTGATTCGTCCCAGATGGGACAATGGTTCTTTTACATGCCCGGTGAAGCTAGAGCACCGTTACATGACTTCGTATTTTTTAAGGTTTCATCCGATACTAAACATTCATTATCGGAATAGAACACCAATTACTATCACATGTATCATTATCATTATCATTTCTATTATTATAAACTCATTTTGAGAATTTCACATTGCTTATCAATATTAAATACCTTTTTTTATTTAACATTTTTTCTTAAAACTTATTCACTGTACATCATCATTATCCTCACATTTCAAAATTCTCATTAGATTTAAAGTTTCCTTTCTATCACTATCAGTTTTATGCATTATATAGTTATGACAACGCATTATAAACTTGATGTAAAAGAATTCACTGATTCTAATTTATCTATCTTTGGGTGTTGCCACCCCTATAGCCAGGAATTGTGCATGTCGGAAAATGTTAGTAAGTGGTGTGAGAGAAAGTTAAAACCTGAAAAATGCATATAATTAAGACAGTTATAGACTTTTAAGAACTTCATAAGGAAATGTAAAAAAGTGTGAACTTGTGGTGTTCTGATTTGACTTAGAAGGAGGGTGCATATATCTAGTAAGCATTGATGGAGTTGGAATGTTGGATGGAAAGCAACTGGCTACAAGGTTGTGGTAGATTTTGAAAAAAAAAACACAACATAATTAATCTAAAGTCTAGCCAATGATGCTCGAGAGAATGATTATTACCATTGACAATGGGAGAATTATCGTGCTTTAGTATTTTCTGTATGTATTGAGTGCAACAATAATATTTGAAGCACTGTCACGCCCTTTCGGGATCTTTCGGATAGAGCACCACAAGGTGCACTTTTCTTAGGTGTTGCCGTATAGGGCTCCCGGGAGATCTCTATTGATTAGTGCTCGAGGGGCTGCCAGATAGAGATCCTCAGTTACCTGATAGAAATAAACTTTATTCTTTTGATGATTATAATGATGATGATGACGACGCCGACGACAGATTCACTGTGTACACAAACATATGACGACACGAAATAAGTTGCGATTCAACATATTTTATATTCGGCCTCCAACAAATTACTGTTTGCCTGTGTCAAAATGTCATTCTCACTGTTTTTCTTACGTTCTTTCTTACCGTCTGTCTCTCTTTCCATCTACCAAACTCTCTATCTGTATTTTCTCTTTGTCTTGTCTGTCCGTCTGTTTTCAGTAGTTAAAATTCTATATGAAATATGATACATTCTTTAAAATTTATCATGTGTACCGCCTACTGTTTTGATAAGAATGAGTCAAAATAATTTTATTTGGAGTTTGATCAATATAAAAAAAAACAACAACAAACAATTAAGGTGATTCCTTTAAATAAGCAAAAAGAACAATCTGACATGTGGAAACGGCACACGAAGAATTGCCTAATATTCATTCTATCTATGTTTTCTATCGTCAAAAAATCGTTGCCATCCTCCTTAATATCATCATTTTCCTTTCCATAACGAGAGCTCTTTTCGACGTTGTGCATCCTTTATGCCCAGTTTATGGTATGGTGTGCAATTTGCCCGACAGAGCTCTACTCTGGTGCTCAATTCGAAAGGATCTCTAAAAGGTATGTGACAAAGCATGTATCAAGTTTACAGCATCTTAAACTGAATTTTAAAATACCAACAGAAGAAAGTAAATTTTAAAGAGAAAAAATATATTAAGTTAAATTAAATCAACATTAACTTACCAATGGATTCATGTTGGTTTATCCTTTTACAACAATTATCAAGAGTTTTCAGCTTTCTTCAAACACGAACCCTATTTCTAAACTATTCAAAAGCACAAATACATATTCCAAACTTCTTAAATTTTAAACTGAGTTTTAAATATCTTACATAACTTTAATACAGGTTCCGGATGGTCTCCAAGTGTGATATTGTTATTTATAAATATTGTCCTACCACTTCTGTAAGGTACTTTAAACGATTGAATTTCATGTTAAGTTGTACAAATATTTAACATCTAGATGAAATCTATATAGATATTGAAGTACATGTAGTATAAAGGCAATCTCTGGGCCGAAACATATAGTTCCGCTTTGTTAGCTTCTTCTTTAAAAAGGAAGTAAAATAACGCGAGCTTCAGACGGATTTAGATTATCCCTTTATGCCTAACAAGGATAATAATTTGACTTTCCCAGTACTTGGAAATGCTTTTATTGTTTCTGTTTATGGTTTAAACATAATTGCACTGACAAAGATCAGAATACTTCAATTATATTAATAGTACGTCTTTGTTCAAATCCATTAATCGAAGGTCTTTTTTTAATTTTGTCTTCTTTTTTAATGATATGTATTGATTTCTCTTTACTTTCATTCATATTATTATTTACTTTTTATTCTATTTTTTACCATATTTCGTACAAGTGAATCGATGATCTAAAGAAGAGTTATATATAGCGAGCACTGTCGGAATAATAATTATGTAAATAATAAATACAGGGGAAGTGATCGATGTCAATATACAGTACTTGTACACGGTTTACCTGTAAAATAAATTCATAACCAAATTTTTTAAGTAAAACATGTATTACATTTAAACATTTTATGACAGTGCATTGTTTTGAACTAACAAAACAGTTATATTATAAAGAAAACTAAATATTTTACATTTCAAAAGAAATTATAATGATGATGATGAATGTACCATGACGTGGACTGCACTCATATGCTGCTGCTGATGATGATTATCATCGTCATTACCAACAACTTTATCTCTATCTTTTACCATCATCATCATTATTATCTTATTATTATTATTGCCTTTAACTTCATTTTTTTATCAAAAGCATAATCATCATAATCACCATCATCAACATCATTATTGCCTTTTACTTCATTTTTTTTTCAAAAGCATAATCATCATAATCACCAGCAGCAGCAGCAGCAGCAGCAGCAGCAGCAGCAGCAGCAGCAGCAGCAGATTGTTTTGAGACTGAAGCTATAACAATGTTAGAAGCAAATGAACTGTTGTCAGTTCGAGTTAATATTCACAAATATTAAGATGGTTTTAGATGTTTTATCAAAGTAATTTTTTATATTGTTGATTTATTTTGTCTTTCCATTTCTTGTTTTTCTTTTTTTCTGTCATCTAAATACCAAGACTGAGATACAAGGGTAATTGATTTATATTTATTAACTATTATCTGCACTTATCTTGTAATAATATCTTGGTAACAGTTGGTTATATATAGATCGGATGTGAGAAAGGGGCATACAACGAAACTACTTAGTTTTATATGGATACCTAACGGTGAAAAATAAAATATTATTATTCTCAAATCTAGACGAAGTTTATGAGATGATAATAATGAATTTGAATGTATCTTTAAATGTAACGACTTTACATTTGGAGCTGATAATGCTTATAATCTTGTAGAACCAACCGCCAAAGTATCATCGTTATACTTTATCACGTGGCTCTGCATCCATCTGTTGCACAGAGGATTATCCGCTCATTGATTAGACGACATGTTCAGAAAAACGAGGAATGTCACAAATTTAACGATAATATTCTAATATTCAGTTAGAATTTGTCGCATAAAGGCTATAGAAAATGCTTTTTTCTTTCTTATTTATATAACTTTGTTTGAATTTCGGTCCGATATGAACAAACAACGTATTTTAGTTCAGTTAAATCAAAAATTTACTTTATCCATACTTTTCACAATTGATACTAAATTATTAAGAAGGCCTATCTGCTCCTGATAGAAAATAAACACATACACGGACTGGATAGTTGCAGAAAATATACACGTACACGGACTGGATAGTTGAAGAAAATAAACACGTACACGGACTGGATAGTTGAAGAAAATAAACACGTACACGGACTGGATAGTTGAAGAAAATAAACACGTACTGTACACGGACTGGAAAGCTGAAGAAAATAAACACGAAAAACTGCATAGTTGAATGTTTTACATAAAGAAAAGAATGAAAAACTGGTCATTTACCTGAAACATGTTAACAATGCCATTGAAAATGCTCATTGCGCATGCGCCAACAATTCAAAACTTTTTAATCGCCCCTCTCTGATGAAAATTTTTGTGAGTTTACGTAAACAATAACCTGTTTTGTCCAGATAATACTTACACGTACATACTAAATATTACACAAAGTGAGATATAAATAATATAAGTTATAAAAAGGAATTTGACAAAACAGTATAAGATTTATTATTACACTATCCAAATTTCTCTATTGGAACTTATCTTATTACAACACAAATAACAATGATATTACGGACTAGAATATCTTTTATTTTTACTTTTATGTTTTGTTTTGACACAATACAGATGAAGCCTCAAGAAGACAAAAATGGTGATCAGCAAGGTACCTTGTGTTTTCATGTTTTTTGTTTACTTCATTTCATTATTGAATAAAACAAATTAAGAACGAATTTACAATGAAAATATTAGCTAATTTTACACGATGCCCCCACATTCCAATGTTTTCTAAGGCGATCGCTTGAACATACGAGTATCTACATTATTATTATGAAATGTATTACAGACAGTAATAGGGGTCGTGGGAGATGTTGTATATATAATTTGACTCATGAATTACTCATGAATAGACCAAATGAAATCGAGTCTGCAGTTTTCATAAAACATTGTTGTTTCCGAGGGATCACCCCTTTTCCGGGTTTTTGTTTACTTCCAATTAAATTTTAGGAAAGACGTAACTTCAATATTTTATTCATGTTCCATGCGTATGATAGAAAAACTGACAAGAAACAACTTTACTTTAATTATTTCTACTCGTTCGATAAAAATATTTCCCAAATTTATTGCATTTCTGTAAGTCACTTTTATCACAGACGCTTGTGGTATGGATTTCCAAATACCTTAAAATCCAGAAGAATTGTACTCGTATGTTTGTTAATCCAAGCACATACACTTAATCGCCTATATACAATAAAACCCATAATACCGGTATACGCTTTGTTGAGTAAAAAAAAACAACAACAAAAACAACAACAACAACAATAAACAAAATAATAACAACGCACGCACGCAACTAATATTTCAACGTCTGTAATATTATGGATTTTGAAATATGTTTTTTCTTTAAAACAGTGTATAATAGATAAACGAAATTGTGGTGTAGTTTACATGTATGTCGTTGATTGCACAGGAGGTGATTACGAAAACGTTAAATTTCTTTTATCATTGTCAATATTAGCATTACTAGTATTCAGCGTTTAAATTTTGTTATGCGATAACAGGGTCTTTCAAATAGAAAGACCCTGGTGATGAGTATACTTGAACAACGCTGGTTATATATATATAACTTGCCAGAATGATGATCCATTTGCGTGCACTCACAACAAACTCGTTTAAGCCAATGGTAAAAAAACATTGCCTCATTGCAATTTATATTAAACAACAAAATGTTTAACAAATTATTGTATCAGAGATGTACATTTATATATTTTAGGACCTTGTGTTGGAATGGATTGTTTACATGGTGTCTTAATGCACAATGACGAAACGCAAGGAGAAAAGCACGTTGCTGAAGACCAGTATCTAAGGTTTAAAGGTGTACTTGACACTGAAAAAGAACGAGATGGTCCTCTTGATGCAGAAGCTCAACTGCACGGCATACTTATGCACGGAGATAGCACTTCAAAAGATCATCATTTAGTGAATGAAGCAGTTCTTCCTGAAACAAAAGTAAATGTTGCACCAAAGGATTTGTCTGAAGTTATACATGAAGGAATGCATGGGGGAGAAGGTGCACATGCAAAACATGATTGGAACAAGGAAACATCAGATCAGGGCGGCTTTAAAGGGCCAGTTGATGGTGAAAAATTTATGCACAATGTTTTAATGCATGGGATATTAATTATTGAGCATAAAGAAGTAGTCCGGAACACACACCGTGTTGAAGGTGTGATAAAAGTAAAAAAACCAGGGTCCACAAGATGCTGAAAACACAATTCCATGGTTGTTAATAGCATTGGTGATTCTGAAGGTGGCACGGAGCACAAAACACCAAGGGACAGGAGCAGTCAACAATGTTCTGAAGAAAAATATTGGACCAAATAATGACCTGCATGGGATTCTCATGCATGGGGATTCTAACGTTGGTCATGATCATTCTCACGAAGACTCAAAAGCTACGCATGATGTTTTTAGTGATATATCTCAAATAAAAGACCTTGGTTTAGATGAAAGCCTACTTAAAATGATAGATATCGACAAACTCATTGAGAAAGATAGACAAGAATATGCTAATTGGATAATAAATAATCCACAATTTCAAGACGAGACACTGATGGGGTCAACAATAGCGAGTGTATCGGATACCATTCTCACTGACATAGAATTAATGAAAAAGCGGTACCTTGCAAAAAATAACGAACAAGGGATTGGTAAAACAAAATCAGTGCAAAAACAAGATGATTATCCCTTCACAGCAGAAGACGCAAAAGCAGTATACGATGAAACCATGCATGCTTTAGATGGGGAGGATGCAAGACACGAACTTGAACTCTTAGGAAGCACAGAACCTATCAATGCAAGACATAGAGCTAAACTGGAATTACTTAAATCAAAGCTTGAAAAATAAATGTAATAAGTAAAGAAATCTGTGCTTTTTTACCTGTATAATTATTTGATGCAAGTAAAGTGCAATGATATTGAACATATCATGATCGTAATTTATGACTTATCCCAACAGAATAAAAACCATAGTGTTAACAAAACGGCCATAAATAGATATTGTCAAAAAATAAAGTATAGAAACGAATAGGGGAATGATGTACTTGCTATGTTAGGGATAAAAAATGTACCAACTTATTTGCGAATATTCTCTGATATACATATTAAAAACAGTAATCTAGACATTCAAAATAAACTGATAATATAAGACGGAACACGTTCTTTAAATAGATCCTTTCAATGAAACTTGGCCATTTATATGTAAGCTAAATTTTAATGTAGAGAACCACGGAATGCCTAAAGAATGCTCAAAGCGCAAACTTGGAATGACGGAAGTGGTAATTGCAAGCTACCACCTTCACTCTTACATACAAACATGTATTTCTAGTTATATAATGAACCAATATACTGGCATTGTTATTTTCTTTGAATCGTCTATAAGTCTATAAGTTTACAGTGTGTAAATGTTAACTAGTTAATTGTTAGAAATCGAAAAGTAAGCATCTTATATTAAATGATGTATCATTTTTGCAACATACTAAAAACAACAACAACAACAACACACTCCAACCCCTAAGAAAAGAAAAAAAAACATTGATTCCACACTTACCAAACTTGTCTGATCTCACTATAACTATATACAGTGTTCTAATACCTTAACCGTGACCCATTATCAACTTTGAAGGTTTTTAAGATGAAAACTTGCCTTGTTCGAGTGTACTGACGCGCAGACTGACCTGTCTGAGGCTGTCTCTACACTGGTGACAAAGGATATTCTCTTTCAGTACCAGAAGGTCAATGGTTAATAAAATTCCATTATATTTCAGGGTGTCTGACATCTTTACCATAGAGGAAAGTACACCTCTTGAAGCAGCCATGATTTGAAGAACGAACAAAATATTCACAATCAATGTCTTGAGATGAAAGTTTATTAATAAACGCGTGAATTGTGACAGTCTGATAAAAACTAACAATCCCTATTTTGTTAAACCTAATTATAAATCTTTCCACCGAACGTGTCTGTGCTTTCAAGATATTAAGTCTATTGTCAAAAAGAATGTCATGTTCAACGTAAAGTATCTATAACTCAAAGACAATAATTTACCTTTTATACATATTATGCTTTAATTAATAGTAGCAATGCTACAGTATATTGGAAGAAGAAGAAGAGGAATGCTTTTATAAGATAGAAAAGACCAGCTGATTGTAAGGATGCCTGATAGATTTTTGTAATAAATAATGCACGTAAAATGAGCAATTATAAATTACTATAGCATTTTTTGCAATATCTATGCTTAATTTGAGGTACAAATGTATAAGTTTAACACGGTCTGCTTTTGACACTTTTACAAAAATGGTACTTTTTGACTAACGCAACGTTTTGTGCTTTTTTTCTGTAACGTCGAAATCGAAATATCTTTGATCAAAATATATATAGATACTATAGATAGAAAAGATATCCGACAAAATATACTTTTATATATCATACAATATTAATGTTAATAATTATTACCATATAAGTTGATACAGAAAAATAATAACATTTTTTCACTGTATCCATTGGTGGATCGGGATGTCCCTTATATCATATTGACTAAATGACATCACCCTAATGGAACCGTGGCTGTGATCCCCTCCAAAGAACAAAAATCAAGTATCTTTGTTGTTGAAAAACAGAAAAGTCAATGATAAATTAATTGCGCCTGAAATATGAACAATAAGTGACTATTATAAAAGTCACAGGGAAAATTATGTAATGGTATGTGTTGATAAATAAGGAAGCAGAGTGACCACTATATTAGGTATCAAAACTTGAACAGTTATAATCTTTTCTATTGCAGTATGATACAAACATCAAAGATTTTCATATTGGTCATCGTGGCCCCCTTTTGTAATTTTGATTTTCCGCATGAAAGTGCAATGGAAACTTGTGAAACATATTGGTCTGATCATAAAATTGTATTTCTCTGTCTCAGCACATCAACACCTATCTAGCCTATCTCAGGAAATTCAATGGGCTCTCGCCCAGATAATGTTATACAATTGTTACAATATCTTAAATATAGGTTGTTACTGTACAAATATTTTTACGCTTATATTGCATTTGTTGTTCCTGTGCAAAGAGTTTCCTTTTATAACGAACTCATTCTCATTGCATACATGTACTACCAAGCCTTTTCTAGGTGATTTTGGGTGGTTTATATGTCTTTTTAAAACATTGGTATTTCTTTTTAAAGTGGACATTTGGACTGTTTGCTGCAATTGTCAGAAAATTATGAATTTTATTTTGAAGATAAATATTATAGCAAATTTTCTACCAGTTTTTTACTACCATTCATCCTACATCAAAATAAGACATAACTAAATTGGTACTGTTTAACCTAAAGCAAGGTAATTTGTGTAAACAAAAATACATTAAAATTTTCAAAAAACCTTTGTTCTAAAATAAAGAAATTAATTTGTCTTGTATATTTTTACACCATTTTTTTCCACATTAAATTTTGTTCAAAATCAAAATTTAGAGAAGACAATTTTGGGAACTATATTTTTACTGTTCTTCGGTTTTCCCGCCAGATGTCACAAAATTAGCAAAAGAAACAACATGGCGTCCACACCAAAAACAACAACAACAAAAAACAACAAAATAACCCAGAAGAAATTAAAGAAGAAAAAAAATAGTGTGTCTCCGTTAAAAAACAAGCTCTAAATCCCACTAAAACTACTTATTGGCTGTGGTACAGACAAGCAGCGGGTACAGCAACGGTTTCCTTTAAAGTTTAAGCCAGATTCTCACAAATCTTTCGTCGAAATGGAAGCTGCCAAGTAGGTTCGATTTAGGCCTATAAATATTTATTATACAGATATTATTTTTAAAAAAGAGTAATTGTTATTTATTGAAATAAAAGGTAACTGTTTAATACATACAATAGGTCTAGTGCACTTCAAGGTGCACTAGAGGTGCACATCTACATGTAGTGTACTCCAAGTGCAATTTCTGTAACCTTTAGTGTGAACTCAACTGTACTTAAACAATAACAAGACTAGCTACCAATGTAGATATGACAATGACCTTTAATTGACCTTTAATTGACATTGACCGTCAAGGTTAGATTAATGAAAGTCTTTTGCTTTTAGCTCACCTATTAGGATCACTCTTCGTCCGTCGTCTGTTGTCCGTCGTACGTCGTCCGTTGTCCGTTCACACTTTTAAAACGACATCTCCTCTGAAACCATAAGGCAGATCATAACGAAACTTCACAGGGATGTTCCTTGTGTGAAGCCTTAACAAAGTTGTTCAAAGAATTCCATTCCATGCAGAACTCTGGTTGCCATGGCAACCAAAAGAAAAAACTTTAAATATCTTCTTCTAAAAAACCCAAAAAGCTTGAGCTTAGATATTTGGCATGAAACATCGTCTAGTGAGTATCTACCAAGTTTGTTCAAATAAAAGCCCTGGGGTCAAAATTGGCCCCGCCCCAGGGGGTCATTGATTTCCCCTATATGCATATAGTAAAAACTTAAAAAATCTTCTTTTAAAGAACCCAAAGAGCTAGAGCTAAGAAATTTAGCATGAAACATCTTCTAATGGGTGTCTAACAAGTTTGTTCAAATAAAAGCCCTGGGGTCAAAATTGGCCCCGCCCCAGGGGGTCAAAATTGGCCCCGCCCCAGGGTCATTGATTTTCCCTATATGCATATAGAAAAAACTTTAAAAAATCTTCTTTTAAAGAACCCAAAGAGCTAGAGCTAAGATATAAAGCATGAAACATGTTCTAATGGATGTCTACCAAGTTTGTTCAAATAAGAGCCCTGGGGTCAAAATTGGCCCCGCCCCGAGGGTCATTGATTTTCCTTATATGTGTATAGCAAAACCTTAAAAAATCTTCTTTGAAAAAAAAACAAATAGCTAGAGTTTAGATACTTAGCATGAAACATCTTGTAGTGAGTGTCTACCAAGTTTGTTCAAATAAAAGCCTTGGGGTTAAAATTGGCCCCGCCCCGGGGGTCATTCATTTTCCTTATATGTGTATAACAAAAACTAAATTCTTCTTTGAAAAAACTCAAATAGCTAGAGTTTAGATATTAAGCACAAAGCATCTTCTAGTGAGTGTCTACAAAGATTGTTCAAATAAAAGCCCTTGGGTCCAGACTGGCCCTGTCCCAGGTGTGTCATTGTTTTTAACTATATGAGTAAAGAAAAAACTTGACCAGCTAGACCTTAGATGTTTAGCATGAAACATCTTCTAATGGGTGTCTACCAAGTTTGTTCAAATAAAAGCCCTGGGGTTTAAACTGGCCCCGCTACGGGGGCCTATATACAGGTGAGCAACTTCAGGGCCATCAGGGCCTTCTTGTTTTCAGTAACTTTGTTATTTGTAATGGATTAACTTTATATTTATAGACACATCATCTTTTAGGACAGGTCCTTAATGTTTATCAAACTCAAATTGGCCTTGACTCATGTTTGATCTTGACCATTTTGGTCAAATTATTGAATATTCACTGATTATTGGTATAATTGGCAATAATTAACTTAATGGTAATTAATCAATGGATAATCTTCATACAACTTACAAGTTTGGACCTTTTGGACAAGACCTTATAAGACCCTGTTCACGATGTCACCAAAACAGAAAGCAGGTCCCATATGCGTGAGCACACACTGTTAGCAGTTGCTGAAGAGGCTACCTACCTCGGAGTGACCTTTGACAAACGGCTTACATGGAAGGCTCATATAGCACAAGCTGAAGGCAAAGCACGGAAGAAGCTAGCCATCCTCCAAAAACTTGCAGGCATCACCTGGGGAGCCAGTCAGGACATACTATAAACAGTATATAAAGGTATTATTAGACCCCAACTGGAGTATGGATCCTCAGCATGGATGACAACTGCCAAGACAAACCAGCAAGTGCTTGACAAGGTCTAAAACCAAGCCCTGTGTGTGATTACTGGAGCAATAAAAT